CATCTCAAGCCAGCACGTATCACAACTAAGCTTGGATTCACTATACCATGATGCACAGTTGCATACATGATCCTTCCACACAACTCCGTCACAACCCTTCAACATGAAAAGTCCAAAGAATAGCACCATTCGCACTTGCAAGATAGTGCGTACGTCCATTACATCCAATGTTGTCGGTGTTGTAAGACCAAATTTTATATCTAAAAAATAGTATTATTAGTATCCAAGGAGTTAATCACAGTTAGCTTAGATATGACTAAGTCTAGCTAGTTATAACTATACTTAGTTGTAATGTCTATACTTGGTGGAATAACTAGATGATTTCTAGAAGGTTTGAGGGGCACTTTTATTTTGTTTTTCACAAAAGTTTAGATTCCAATGAAAGATATTTTTGACTTCATGTTTAGTTTTGATTGGTTTGATTAAGTATTGGTGACTTCATTAATTAGACTAACTCTAATGTTGACGTAGTGGCAAATGGAGGTTTTAGAAGTTAAAAAGTCACAAATGACATGTCGCCAACTCAGTCTAGGTTTAGTAAACTTCTAGAAAGTTCAAGAGCCCAATGGCCTGTAGTCACATATTGATAGTTAGTCAAACTTATTATGATTTATCTTTGTAAAAATAAGTGAGATAAGAATTATTATTTGTTATTATGGTAAACTTTCAAATAGTTTGATGTACGGTTTTTTTGAATTTTGGATAAAAGAATAAATTCAAAATGTATTGGATGTAGAACATGTACAAATAGGTTCATAATCGTTGGAGTTAGAAGGTATAAGGGAAATTGAATAATTAGTAGTTAAGATTAGATGGAATCCGAATTCAAAGCCTTCGGCCGAAGATCTTCGGACTTCGACGCAGATATCTTCGGCGAGGTAATAGAGCGATCTTTGGCAAAGACGACTTGTTACAATTTGAATTTGCCAAAGATTGGACAAGAACTACTAGCATTGCGGGTGTCAATTTGCGCGTGTGCGAGAACCGTTAGGGTGTTAGGAGTAAGGACGCGAAGTAGTTACTTCGCGCCGACATTGAGCGTGAGTGAGAATTGGAATCAGAGAGCTTGAAGACTATCCTGCAGAAGACATGGTGCGCGCGGGAAAAGTATTGGGACCAAAATTGATCTCGCTAAAGGTGCCAGATGTGAAATTACAGAAGTATCAAAAGGAGTTGATCGCAACGCGACTTGATTTCTTACAAGGGTATTGGAATTGCATTTCGGCGACGATTCATCTCGCCAAGAACAAGAACGTGGGTACCGACCTTTGCGACAATCCTCTGTTGTGGATGATCGAGCATTGGACGCCCATCTTAGGACCATGCGCAAGCGAAGGAAATGGAGTGCGATGTTCTTCGGCTAGAAATAGTCAAGGAGAAGGAGTTTTGTGAGGAGGAAGAATTGAGTTACGAAGGTCTTCGGCTAGAGATTGCGAAGATGAAAATTGTGATCATGGATCTTCGGGAAAGAAGCGAGGCGCGCAAGGAAGCGCACAATGTGAAATTGCAATATGTGAATGAGCTTACTACGAGTTTGGCGGAGTAGACACAAAAGCACAAGGCCGAATTGGCTAGTTGGACTAAGAAATTAACTGAGTGCAAGACAACCAAGTCTTAAGAGATCGAATGTAGAGTAAAATTGGATGTAGATTGCGATCAAATGCAAACCCAATTGAAGACGGTTGAGGAGCAGTTAACAACGTCATAGACTAGGGCAAAAGCGGCGGAACTAACGGTTCGACTGTTGGAAGGGCAGACGATCAACAATTTGTGTTTGCGGGTTGTAAGGTGTCTTCGTCGAGTGGAAAGTTCAAACGCTGAAGTGGATAAAATTGGACATGCTGGAGCGGCGATTGAAGCAATTGGAGGCCAACGGAACCGTCGGACACCGGCAGTTAGTTAGATTAGTGAATTCTTTTTCTTTCGGGTTGGAAGATGTGGTAACCCACTTTTTGTTTTTGTGCGGAATTTAAACATTTGTGGAAAATAAGTACCGCTGCCGCAACTGTAAATAGTAATCGCTACATAAAATAGAGTGAAAAAGGAGGATCGAGGATCACGGAGAATCCAGGAGTTGGGAGAGGCTAAGGCCGAGGTCCAGCGCCTTCGGCGCAAACGGTTCATGCCGGAGAGATCGCCTTTGGCAACAGCTCTTTTGCTAAGGTGTCTTTGGCGATGCGCCTTCGGAGCAAGCAGAAGGAAGCGCGTTCGGCGCAGACGCCTCCAGAGGAGATGTCGTTGAGGACGCAGGAAGCAAACGCGACGGACGCCTTCGTCTCAGGTAAAACGACCTCGTCATTTTGTACGCCTTCGGCCGTACGCCTTCGACGTTAAGTTACTTCGCCCCAACACCTTCGGCACTAGCGTCTTCGTCGCTAGCGCCGCCTTCGTCGATAGTTTTGCCTTCGGCGTACGGAAGGCCTTCGCCTCTAGGATACTCCTTCAATAGAAAGATGTGCCTTAAGCGGAAGGACTCGCCTTCGGCGGATCGCCTTCGGCGGAAGCGGAAAGGACAAAGAAGTCGGCGGAAGACGTGTCTTCGCCGCAAGCGCCTTCGGCGGTAGCAAATCGGGCAGGAGAAGCGGGCCCGCTGGAAGTCAGATCTCCCACCGCGTTGGAGATCTTAGCTGGGAGTGGAGCGGCGCGAAGAAGAAGCCACGCGACCCAGTTTCTGGGAATCGTCGAGGACTTCTGTGGCGATGGAGATCCTCGACTCAGAGGACGAGTCGAGTTCGGAAGGGCAGGAAGTGGAGTCGGTGCAAGGCACGCCGACAGGAGTGTTGTGCAAACAGGTGGTACCACTATTGCGGTACCTTGATCGCAAGGCGGCGAAGTATGCTGATCCCCGCCATCGGGGATCCTACGTCGAGTTGGTGAGGAATCGGACGCGAATCAAAAGTCACAACGAATCCCGTACTGATTTCCCTAGACCGCAAATACAGAGAGTTGGAGGAGAAGAACGATGTCCTGCACGGACATCTTACACTCTCGCGGAAACTGCAGAAGGCAGTACTACAGCTGCGCGATGACGCAACAGCCAAGGCCCAGCGCGACTTTGAGAAGCAGCGCGCAACGATTGAGGCGGAGCTCCATTCGGAGCGAATTCAGAATAGCACCTTGGCAGAGGAGCTCGTGCGACAGACGCGATTGCTGGAGCAACGTCAGATCGCACGCAAGGCAGATGAAGAGTTACTGCGTCGCCTACAATCGTTGTGATAGCGCAGCGTGCGGATGCGGAGCTACAATTAGTGGAATTTGAAGGCGACAACCGGCGCGCGCGACAGATCGCACGCGAGAGGAGTTAGTCGCGCGCGTGAATCAGTGTCTGAGAGGTTACACTCTCTGGGATGTGGTAGCGCGAGAGATAATGACCTTGCGTGAGTTAGAGATTCGTGCGGCGGCCTTGATGTCGGGTGACAATCGGAGCCGGCGGCGAGTGGCGAAGCGGTTAGATTCCTTCCTGGCGAGGTCGCGAGACGCCATTGCGAACCTCGAGGCAGAGGTGACCGCGGTCTTGCGGCGGCTGGGATTGCGCAGTATAGGAGAAATCCTAAGCTTCTAAAATCATGATGACCTACCTCAAAGCCATCTAAGGTAAACTTGAGTGAGAACCAGCCCGGAGGTTGAATTGCATTCAGTTGTAGATAGACGTAGTGCCCCACATGGAACCTACGAATTGATGGTGGATAACCTCCTCCCTGTATGGTTGCATGTACTAACGTATATCTATGCTCATCAATTGCAAGATTCTTAAATGACACAAGCATGATTTAAATTTTTTGGGACATATTTTAAACTTTTTGCAACTCAATGTACAATTGATTTCAATTCCAAATGTAAAATTATTAATTATTATACGACAAACCAATGAATAACCTCATGAATTTGATGATATGCATTATATTGTTATATTTAGATTCTAGATGAACTATTGTATTCTAATGTAAATCACTTGCAGTGAGATGTGTGAAGTGGATTTTTAGATAATTCAAAATATTATGTTCTTTTTCTTATGATTCACAATGTAATGACACATCTTTATTGAATTATATTGATACAGATTATGAACATGATCAGCACAAAAAATGCCCATAGACATATATGTAATTACACTTGAATATTTATAAATTAGTTAGAAATTTACTTTGTAAAAGTTCATAATTTAATCATCAATATGAGAAAAATTTAAAAATTGATATAACAACATTTATATTATAGATCTAACCAAAGCAATATGTTATATAATGTCATGTTGATAGTTAGATTACATTTTATCTTGCAATAAATCAAATGATGACTATCAAAATGAATCAAAGTAAGATATGATTATATTCTATGTTTTTCAAAAGAAAGTTAAATTAGTCAATATTCACAGTAAATCAATCTAATTAATGTACTAGCCATAATAATTTCTTTGAAAAGTTGTAAAATATATGGTATGAATATGTAAAACGTTTTTAATTAGATCAAATAGGAAAATATGTTGACTCAATATATCATAACTTATTCTATTATAATTTGATTACAACTTAGATTTACTTCAACTTAATTAAAATACAAGATTATGTCATTTTTTCATGACATATGTTATAGTACACCATCATAAATCTTTGGTAAAAAAGATGATACAATAAAATAAAATCGCGCAATATATAATTGTAAAAGATATGTATTAATAAGTTATGATATATTTATCTATATGTTTCCAAGACCAACTTGCAGGAATTGATCTATCTATTGAACTATTAACTAGTAAGAGGAATTCAATATTTCATGGATTCAGTTTTTTCATACGAATTAATGGTGGATTGCCCTTAGATTGAATATAGATGTCCATATATTTTGAGGAGATACATTCTGAACCACCCTGCCTTATTTTGAGCCGGAGGCAGAATACATACCATACATAACGGAAAGTGGCACAGTTTGACAACGTTCCGTTAGATTTCAGAAAAATGCTCAATGGAGGTAGCATGAGGCCGGGTTTACAAATCTGGATAAGGGGCCGAATCCGAGTAAGACGCGCTAAAACCCTCGTTTGTGCTGCATTCAAAAATTGCCACTCTTTCGAAGAACATCAAGCAGAGCGAGTCTCAATTCCTGCGATGGAGAGCGGAATTGACAGCGAACACGAGATTGCCATCTCGCAGCAAGAACGTCGAGGCCGATCGCTGTTCTTTCTGGGGCACAAAGCGAAATTCGAGCCCATCATCCCGAGGCTCCGAGGAGGCGGAGGATTGAGAGTTTAGACTGAGGAGATGATGGATAGCTGATTTTTCGATATGGAGCGCGAAGGATCATTGGCGCTGGTGGTTCATGAAGCACCCGAGCAGACTGTGGGAAATCCAAGGAAACCGGCAAGCTGCCCAGCTACTCTGAAGTCGAGGCGATTGGCATGCGTTAAGGCTGAACATTCTCACTTGCGGAAGAAAAAATTCAAAGGGTGCTCGAGAAAGCGGGAGCAGTACGGTATAGATGCAGACAGCGGAGCACTGCACAATGTTCACCGTAGCAAGGTGTGCTCATCGTTCCAAGTGCAGTTTCCTTTTTTGATAATCTCGAAATGTGCACCTTTCAAAAGTCTCTCGGATTTCATAGCTGTGGATGTTCCCAAGTCTGTGCCTTTCGGTCCTACTCCGAGGAGTGTGAACTCATTTTCTCGTGTTGTAAGTGGTGCAGCTTCGTCTTTTGCTCAAATCTCTCATGGAGCAACGACGCTGGACTGAAGCCTGTGGAGTTCTTGGTGTCCTACTGAGTATACCATTCAGTAGTAAAAAAAATTCTGTCCAGGCGTCGAGCCGTAGGTTGGATTATTGGGTATGCTTAAAATTCTGAAGATTTGCTGTTTTTTTACTGTCGTCGATCGTTGTCACCTCGAATCAAAAGGCGAATCTCTTGAAATTAGTATTAACATCATCTGACCATATACAGAACTTGTTGGTTTGAAACATTATCATTTTTGAGAAGTTCAAGGAAAAGCTGAAGTACAAATTACATTCGTCTTTTCTTACGATATCGTCGTGGAATTTTCGTGACATGATCAGGCAGCGATGACGGTACTCAGGCGAGTCGAAGACACACAAGCGAGTGCCCTGAGATGTAGGCGAATGTTTCGACTCTTGATTCGTCAACAGCCAAATCCAGTAAGCAGCAATTATTTTACTACACTGTGGATTCACCGTGTCTTTTCGCAGCGCACTGAAAGTGGTCGGTGACTCTGTATGTCAGAGGTGTCGTGGAGAAGTTCAACTGGAATCAGCACTTTATTTGATTAACCAGGGTGATCGAGAAGCAGCGTACAATGAACTTCGCCCGTAAGTATTAGTTGTCTTCCTTTATGAGGTTTTATTTGTTCATAAGTTATATAGAGCGTATATACAAGTCAGCCTGCTGCTTTGCGCAAAGTTTACATTTGTGTGTGGAAAGCAAACATGACATATCTTTCTTGTGCAGAATCGCCGACGGCCCACTCTTTCGCGATGATCCAGTGGTGAATTTGTGTCATGGTCTCAACACTCATTGCCTCTGGTACGAGGCTGCCGTAGCAGAGAATATGAAACAGGATGTAACACAAGTTAGGGCGGATAGCGAAGGCAGAAGTTCGGGACCTCACGAATTTATCGGTGAAACTGAAGCTCCAGAGCCTTCAGTCGGTGTGTCAAGCAGACCGACTGAAAATAGGCTTCTCAGAGAAGGGAGTCCTGAAGGGAGTATCATTTCTAGCGATTCTCATTTTTATCGAAGTGCTGGTCAACAGAGTGAACGTGCTTCACAACTTGCCGTGGACTTTGAAGTCAGTTTATGGGAAGCCTCCCAACGATCTATATATGAAGAGACCAACGATGAGGGATTTGTGGAAGATGGAGAGCAAGTATGGCTGAAAGCCTCAATTCCTCTAACTGCAGGTATAGTTCATCCATACTAGGTGACAATAATGACAAAGCCTTTCATGTTGAAGTTTTGATGAAGGTGAAGAAATTTTTGGACGATTTAGTGCAAAACATTGTTATTTAGCTTCGGTGAGTCTTGAGGAGAACTGAGGAGATGATACGACGAATGAAAGAAAGAAGAACTAGGTCACCTCCTGCTTTTACACTAAAAGTTTCGTTCTGGGTCTGTAATGAGGATGAAGAGTCGTGTCTTTCTGCTTTCACACTAGAATCAGCTTCTCATGTAAGTCATGATATTTCTGTACAGAATTGGATCGGAGACTTTTCCCTCTACGCGTCATTCCTAAACCAGGTCAGCAAGATCAACACTACCGAGTTCCTATGAACGACGGAAGGACAAGGGATCTTCATGCTGCTGCTGTCAAGCATCTCAAGCAGGCTTTAATGATTGCACCAGACACGCTACCTGCCCTACTTCCGCTCGTTCAGGTCAGGTTATAGTTAGCTGCAGCGTTGTGCTTTCGTTGCAGTTAGTCCCGAACTGCAGACTCTGTAAAGACGGGTTCTCAATAGGATATTTAAGATTTTTATTGTCACTTGTTGCCTTCACAGTTTTGCATCATCTTTCAGTTTCATATATTTTAGTCCTTCTGTACATGACGTTATCTTCATCTGTGTTTGCGTTGTCCAGACGAAGAGTAACGGACACATACTATGATCTAATCGTGAAGGTCATCTGATCATATTTTGCAGTTGCTACTTGCTGTACATGACATCAAAGGTGCAATATATGAGATAGATAGGTGCGCTGAGGCTCTAATGTATAATATTACACCTCTAAGGTATTTGCGCTTCTCTTTGTAGTCATTGTGGAGAGTTATCTTTTACGTGATTCTTGGACCTACTTGTATCTGGTAAGTATATTTTCTCAGGTGCGAATGTTGCTGTTTTGCAGCATAAAAGCGGTGCTTCTGGAATCGCTGAAGCACAAAGACCATTCATTACTACAGGCTTGCTATCGGAAGGTCTTGTCTTTAAACCCATTTGCAGTGTGGGCACTGAAAGGCCTCATAAATCTGCATGCCTCTGGTATGTTTGGCTTCCTTCTTCAAGCGTTGCACAATATGTTGATCATGAATACTCTTGCCCTATCTGCTTTTACTGTTTCGGACGTTTCTCTCTAGGAACGCGTCACGCTTTAGTATTGGAGGCTTCAGTCGTTTGCAAATGTATTTGGTCCTCCTTCCCTTAGTACGACAATCTGACTGTAACCACACAGTTGTATTCCTGGTCTTGAATACTTTCTGTTTTCCGCTCAGGAATGCCCTGTCTCTTGAACATTTATTCTTGATCCTGTTGGACAAAGACTGAGTATTTTACATGGTAACGGTGGCAGATAGATTGCCGTCCTGTAACAAGCATCAAATTCTCTTCAACTGCCTTCGTTTTGCATCTTGACTCTCGAGAAGAATCGAGAAAAATTTCTTTGCAAAGGTTTTCGGCCTAAACCCATTGTGTTTGGCAATATAACATCGGGCATCGATCTGCTTCTGATAAGTGTGCTTCTGTGATGGTAGGTAAACTGGAGCAGGAGGTATTGCTGGATCACATCGCATTGCATCTGGATGCAACGACAGGTTCTGCAGAGATTTGGCGGAAGTTAGCATCCATTTTCTTAGGAGTCAGTGATGCTTCTGGGATACCTCTTCTCGAGGCTGGTACTAACACGGAGAACACCAATACTGGACAGGAAAAGGTTTTTTCGGTCGGTAGTCGCGAGTATGTACAGATGTTATGGGCCAGCCCCCGACATGAATGGTGGTTAAGAAAACACTTCTGTTCTGACCTAATTATACGAAATCACCAGCAGCAAAACGGTGGTAAGCTTTCCTGCCCAGCTCTGTCCACTTTATTTGGTTGTGTTACCAGCAGGACGAGTAATGTTCATTTCGAGTGCACGTTTGGTTTGTGCGTTCATGTCTAAAAAGACCTAAGTACAAGAGGTATAATCTGATTAAACATACGGGACCTCGGCGGAGAAAGACTGAGTGTTTCACTAATTGCAGTGATTATTTTCATCTGGAAGTGGAGAAATTTATTTTCATTTGATTATTTTCAGGAAGTGGAGACCGCGACCTGGGGAGGACTGGTCAGAGTAGGCCCAATAGTTAGCGATTTACCAGATCTTAAACTTAGCTGATACTTGTTTTTGTTCTGTGCAGGAGAAAGGTGGTTGATTGCCCACATGGCCGCATGCGCAGCGCACATCTATGGTCCACAATTCCACCTCGTGGAAAAGATCTGTAAATTTCTGGAGAAAAGAGGAGAGGATACTTTGCATAAGTTCGTTGGACGCCATCGGCAAAAGTCACTGAAGCTTTTTGCTGAGGAATACAGAGGAGGATGACTGGAATGTCATTGCATCCCTCTCTAGTGCGAGTTTGGAACTTGTGCTTTAGTGAAAACACTGTGCCGGTAGCCAGAAACGAGGGACACATGCACAATGTTCAGTAAAATACAAATTTCAAACTCGCACTAGTCACGTCTCGACTCACACCTCATAAGCTTTTCGTGCAACGCCCGCATCAAGTGAATGATACTGTTAATTCGGTCGTTTGTGGAATCCACACGACTGGCAGTTATTTAGGATATTATTTACGTGTAGACCCCGAGAGGGTCGTTCTCTGACCCAAATACCTGGTTCGGTTTCCACCGGCTTTCACCGGCTTTCAGCAGTGTCCCTTCTCGGGAACTCATATGCGCAGATACGGATCGAATCATTTAAATTCCAAATCTTTCACAGGCTCAACCGTCTATCTGGGTGAATCATTCAGTGAAGATGACTCGTGAAGTTCTCGTCTTTACTGTGTACAGAGTAGGATTGGTGCCCGTGTGATCATTGCGATGTATCCCAGGATCTGTTCATACTGCTGGAATGCTCTGTTTCGGACTTGAGGTGCTAACACTTGTCGAAGTGAGAGTAAATCTCGACAGTTCTATGCCGCTCATCCCCAGCAATCCCGGCTAGACCGACATTGCGGTGTGGCCGAGTTTCTCGAGAGCACAGTTTCGATCCTGAGCAGCGAGTTTAGACGTGACGAGAACCGCACACATTTCGCTCCACATCCGGTAAAATCGAATTGTGCCCCAGTGGAAGATGCTAAACGGGGACCTGATGCCCACTTAGACGCAATTTCGTGTGCCACACTCCCTGTACATTAAGATCTCATCAAGGTGCCCGAAAAGCTAATTTGGCTTCTGGCGGCCGTAGACAGCCTCGCACGATGATATAGAAGCATGAGAAGCGGCGTTTTGTCTCACAGATTTTCATCACATTCCCGCTTGAAGTACTGCACCTCGCCTTCAGACGCGAGATTCTCGCTCGTCGTTGGCGTGTATGACTAGAAATCAATTACCCAACGCGAAATAGTCACGTATCGGAAGACGCACGGAGCCGAAGTGAAGGAAGGAAGTAAGGAGGGAGGGAGAAGATGTTCGCATGTAAAGGAGCATCGGATGGGTTCTCGAGTCTCAGCAGCGCCACGACGGGCACTGAAACCGAAGCCATGGCGAATACTGTGTGTAGGTAGGCTTTGTCATGGAAAAGCTGACTCGCCACCTCGTGTATGATTGATTAAGAACATCGCAGTGTCACTGCCAGATGCTTCCGTTACGAGCCCGGTCCGGGAGATGAATACTTCTCGTAACGTTCACAAGCCCGTCCTTGGGATGGGAACGAACGCTCGGAGCTCGTGCAAAGGTCATCACTGCTTTGTTTTATGCAGGGCCAGAGCTGCCAAATCCGATATTAACGGATCATGGCGATTGGCAACGTGATGGGGCTTTGGAAGGTGTTCAAGATGTTCATTGATGATTTCTAGTCACTTTTGAAAACTTACTTAGACAGTAGAGGCGAGAGAGGGGATTGATTGTACTCGTATAGGCCGTAGCGATCTGTCCTGGTTCCAGTTCGTGATTTATCTTCTTACGAGGTACATTATACCCTCAAAAGCGAGAGGTTGCCACAGTAATGACAGAATCAAATCTTGGGATTTCGATCGACGGAGGCGATGACGCAACGAACAAAATGCACAGGCAGGCCCAACTTCCAAAGCTCGATCTCAGATACGGGAGAAGAAGTCCCCGCTCGCAAGAACTTTCTCCGGTACTGGTCTTTGTCCTACGAACCCTCTCGCCACCTTCCCTTCCGGAGGGGGTCAAACCTCCGGATCCGTAACCATATAATTCTCGCTCGCATCAATGTAGCAGTTAGCTTATCAGCCGCATGATACTTGCTCTTCAATAGCACTAAAGACGCAAGACGTTCAAAACAAATCCCTCCCCGCACATTCTTCCCCTCCTCTCTCTGAAGACGGCTCGACCACTCGGCCCCTCTCCCCGCATCCTACACGCATCCGCACTGGACAAAACCCTTCGACACCTTCCGCATCGCTCACTCTTTATCCAACACGCATCGCCTCCAAATTCGACAAATTTAGGCACGCAAAAATCGCTCAATCTCTCACGGACCACCGGAAGTCTCAGCCGCGGCTCGATTCGTGTCAACTCCCTCAAAAATCGTCCGCATCGCCACTGCCGCCTCGTGGAGATCGGTCTCCTCGGCCGGACGCGCGGGCCGCGACTGACCAAACCCTAAACCACGCTCCTCGTCAGTCCCATGCTCGGGGGCGCAGGGACGACTTCCAACGTCCCCAGGAGAAAATGTGAAGCTAGTAGCTTATGGCCATTCGGAGGTTTCGGCGCCGTCGTCAAAGCAAGCGATGTCGCGATTCCGACGCCAATCCTCGCTCGGGCCGCAAAATCAAGGGCGCTGGAAGAGACCAGTGGGCGCAGGGCCATCTAGAGAACGCAGTCCGACCGGTGTAACCCGCTTGATTGAAGGGAGTCGCGGGCTGGTTCACTAATCCCCTAATCCGACCACCACTACCTCCCACGGCCCGCCAATGCCCCACTCCGCCCGCGCCGCTCTGACCCGATATCTCCTCCCGTCTGACGCCCTCGTCGGTAAAGATCCTCCTCGAGCGCGACGACGCTGTGAAGTCATCGAGTCCGTTGGGGTCGTCGGTCCCATGCCGGGAACGTCGTCATGCAGGGCGAAGCCGAGCTGACATGAACTTAAAAAAGGGGCGGGCAGTCGTCATGCTGCCGCATTTGCATGTTGTAATGGCATGTGAGGTGTGGGGTTGTGTTTGGTTCCAATGCGAACTGCCTCCATCTTTAGAGAACGGAGAGTATCTGATAAGGTATGGTCAATCTTCCTAATCCGAAGTACAGGAGTCCAGAATATTTGACCGTACTGATATTGATAGCCTACATGGTACAGGATCAAATATTTTGGCAAAATCTGCGTACACTATTAATCTTATCTTTATATGATTTTGACCTAATGATTCACTATGATTTGATTCACAATGTTGTTCGAATTATATGGACTCCAATTCCTAATATTGCAAGCTGGACAAGATTCGCGGTTAGTTGGAAAAGGAATTTTGGGTCGGGCATCTTCTTGAGGTGACATCAAATGACCACACGCCATGTTTTTTATTAATTTCGCCTGGCATCATGCGCGCTCATATTGTTAAACCGGATTAACGTCGGTAATACACTCTACGTATAAACCATCGGGCATTTGGAGCAATATGCATGGACAGTGGCACTTGAGGAGGAGACATACAACATGCCCCCATGATGGAAACATGGGGCCTCAACACCTCACAAGCGTATGAGTTGACCCCTTGTTTTATACTTAAGGGTAGTGTATACAACAACCGTTCACATTTCAAGTTGCAAGACATCCTCTTCCGTACCCACCTGTATCTAATGATGTGACATTCGTCTTTTCCTGCAAATGCTGATTGCTTGGGCCATGGCCGTGTGACAACAAATCATCACAACTTGGCGGAAATTTCATGCGTCTTATACGTGTTTAACATCTTTTTGTTGTATATACACCCTATAACAACATCACACATAATCCTGTCAACAAGATTTGAACTTTCAAGTTCGTCGTTGGTAAAACAGTGTTCATGTTATTTCGGTGATAATTTTGGACGGGGTGGAGGGAGTAAATAATAACTTTACATAAATTAGGTTTTATAAAGGGACGGGTTAGTTATCCTAGTTACTTTACTATAGGATCTTATTTGATTGATCGAACACGCTATAGTTGTTACTGCATCACTACTAACTATGTATAGGAGAGTGAGGCTAATAAACACTAAGTGAGAGATAACTAGCAACTCCCTTTATATAACATTTAAAGTGATAATATGCTTGGACCCTTCCATGTCTGGGGAAACCAAAGACACACCTAACGTTTGAATACTGTGTGAACATGTTCGCGTTTCAAGCATTTATCACGCAACTCACTTCTTCCTCGTGTCGAATTCCAGATGTTTTCGCTAAGAGTTTGCATGTGAGCTGACGACTGAAATGTGTTTTCAATGGACAGGAGTGAAAAGAAAGAAACTTAAATGCACTCTTCTTCTTCCTCTGGCATCTGCATTCCTTGGATTTTGTATCGTCCATGTGACAGATTTTTCTCGGGCCACTTTTCATCATGATCTTATTTTGCATGTTTTCTCTTTTGAGTGCTACCTGCTTTAGATTTGGAGATCAAAAGCGTTGCGAGAGTGTTTTCTGTGTAGTCATGTGCACTGAGATGATGCAGCATGGCAGATATATGATTATATTTATCCAGGAAAAACGAAGATAACCATGAGAATGGGAAATATCAACTGCTGGACGGATGTCCAGAATATTCGGCTGAGCTGATGTACACCACAGTATTGTCGATTGATATTCTCCGGAATTGTGAGGAACGGGCGAACCGAGTCTTCGTTGCGCTTTGACCGGCATTTTTTGTACTCTTTTGCATCAGTTTACTATCAAATCGATCGGTTGTCTCTTGTTCCGAACATTTATCTTTCGAAAACTGTGGCTCGAAATATTTAGTACGTATCTTCACATTATCTTTAAGGCTTTGGTCCTTACTTCCAAACAAGGTACAGCTTGATCATCGAAATTAGAAATGAGTCACTACACTCAGGCGGATATTGTATATCCCGCTTAGAATGATCAAATCTTTGATGGATGTAGCAGAATCTGCTTTATTCCAAAATGTACTCCACATCTCTTTCTGTTGAGCAACGGGATTCTTCTAATGGGACCCCATCCCACCTTCTTTTGTCGAAGACTGTCCCTCCTTGACCGGAAGGACGACGCAACGAGGACTACCGCGACGAACTGCGAAGTCAAATCTTTCATCACGTTATGAGAATAGACACGGTGCGGGTAGTTTAGGTGAGCAGTCATCCAGTAGTACGGTAGTGGAGCCTTGGACTTGACTGCGTCATGTGAAGGAAGACAGAAATAGACTAGGGTCAAATATCGTCAGAAATCAAAACCAAGATTTCCCGCATCAAGCATAGTTGGAGTTGACAGGTTGTTCCGGTGTTGTGTAGAAGGTCCAACTGTCCAAACACCACAACCACGGCCGTGAAGACAGATGGAACGGACTTCGTTCTTTGCAATAGATAGTACTGAAAAATATCAAAGCTCCAAGGGACACAATTGCCGCACAGTACTGTACCACGGAGTACATGAGCGCTCGGGGCTAGATCGGGCGCCAAAGAAGTAAGATTTCCCCGGACGACTCATACGTCTAGGAAGAATATCTTCTCACAAGAGCGTATCAAATCGACGGGAGAGCATCCAGATGTTGGGCCAATACCACAGTCTACAGGCATTGTCATCAGGAATTTCACCGATGGTACCAGCATGGCGCGGGACCTACTGCTGCTGGCTCCTTTTGACGAGAGGAAAATGGTTCGCGATGGTGATTCAGAGCTTGAGATGATTTCCATTGGACGCGTTGAATTCTTCCGATCTCTTCGTGTGACTCGCTCACTGATCCGGAAGCAGCAGATGTCTTCCTTGGACTAACTCGGTTGGCTCCTCAACTACGACAACCCACGTCTGCAGTTTGAACAACACGGTTTGAATTGTGCCGAAATCACATCGTCGACTTAATAATATCTCCATCCGTCGGGACCATCATTCTACTCTCGACGATAGAAAGTTGGACCCCCGCCCGGTCAGACTTTCTCCCGTTACGTCCCCGAAGTGACAGCCAGGAGGTTCTCACGGCGGCGCCGAGACGTTTCCCGCCCTCGCTACGCGACAAAATGCGAGGACCCCCTAATCGATCGGACTCCATAACCGGTGTTAGTCATTTTGTCCCTTTGCTGGTCGATCCCAAAGAAAGCAAAGAATTATTTAAACTGTGGATGGCCAGACCGAAAATACTCGGCGTGCGTTCTTTGGATTTGTCTCACGTCACCGGTTGGAGTTGGAGTTCCATCCTGAGGTCCACTTTTACGGCACCCGGCACCGTTACGACAGGCGACGGTGTCGCGCCGGTGTCTTCTGTGGTTACTTTCTGCGACCACATCGCGCGATACGTAGACTGATGCAATTCAAATATCCCCCTGTCTTGTCCTTCCTGTCCTTGGATTTTTTCCCGTGAGAGTAGCGGAGGAGGAGCTAATTTAGAGCAGGTTAATGAGGTGGTGACACAGGGGGTTGACTTATGGACCCGGACTGGTCGCTTGATGGCCCGAGATCTACAGTTTGCCAAATTAAGCGGAGGAGGAGGGAGAGAGCTTGTCCAAGGCTTGACTCAAGGATGCGGGGAGGGGGACCTCGGGAATGGCTAAGATCGAGGAGGCGAAGGAGAAGGAGACGTGCTGATCAAAGAGTGAGTGCGAGGAGGGAAAGATCTGCGACGGAGCGGAGGTACTGGTTGGGATCGGGGGCAACCGCCGACGGCTTCTCGGAGTTACAGTCCGGTCCGGCGTAATGAGTCGAGTCGATGAAGCCCGTGAGGAGCATCCCTCATGTTTGCGAAATGACCTTGAGCCGGGCCGAGGAGCCAGGCTGGGCGTTCCCCTCCGGAGGCAGCCACCCAATGGGTGCCGCCCGCCGAGGAGGAGAGCAGGCCGCCTTCGGATAGAACTAGCGCCAAAGGGATCTCCTGTCGACATTTCGGAGGGGACTGAGGTCACAGAGCTCAACTAACGTATTGTATAGAGAACGCTTTTAGGGTAGCAGGTCAGAGGCCGAATGTACCAAACCGCGACTGACTGCTGGCATCGCGCTTGGCAGATTTTTCTTTCCGTCGACACGTTTAGTTTGAGGGTTGTACCTACTATAGCCCTCTCCTGGTACCTGCACTGCAGCCGATAAAAAGCAAGTCGAAATGTCTCACGGGCTAGTTTGTGCGAAACACCTGTAATAAACCGGCCCCAAAAGCAGAAAAAGGCATCCTTTCCACGCCGAGGTTGGAGGCTATACCACAGTCCACTGCGGCGTCCAGACCGAACTGGAGTCGCCGTCCAGGTCCAGGTGGAGGTTCTTCTGCGGACCAATCGCGGCCGAGGTCCGGAGTTTCAAAGCAGTCGGCGACACATCTGTGGCGGGCTCCACAAGCTTACATGTGGCGTCGCGAGTTTCGGCGCGTTGGACTGATTGGCGGATACGGAAAAGCTGGAGCTTTTCCGCGACGATGGCCGGGTCAGGAAGCGTGGTCGCCCGGCCAATCAGAACCAGCTCGGAGGTTCCATGATGTTGCGTCGCGGGGCGAAGGATGCCACGCGAGGGCCGCGAGGCTGGAAAAGCGAAGTCCTCAATGCAAAGAAACCAAGAGGTGGACTAGGCCCAACGGGAAAGTTCGGGCCCGACTCCGTCGACGACCGATTTGAGCCCGCGCGCAGGTGGCAGGCGACGAGGCATAATACGATTTTCCATATGCCAGTAAAGAATGCTGCAGCTTTCATTTAAAAACTCGCGAGCGCTCCCAGCAAGTTTTGGAACCGACGGACGCCACTTCATCCAGCCGTCCACGTGCTCCCCATCGCCTCCAGAATCCGCTTCGCCGCCCTAGATCCATCCGTATGATTGTCCCGTAGAAGTCCTTGTGTAGGCACGGCACGCGACTGACCGGTCATCGCATCGTCGCCGCGTCAATCTGAACCCTCGGTCCAGTATCCTACGTCGGTAGTACACGTGTCGAGCGCGAATACTCGCAGCGGCCACGTTCATTGACGAAATTATTTAGAGTTCGGTCGTGGTCTCCCTCCGCGCTTCTAATACGACCCGATCAATAATATCAACTCCGGTTAATGTAACCCACACAAGGTAGGACGATCGTTCCGTGCGCAAGAACGCTCCACCGGAACCCAGTAGGAGTAGTCTGCCTGGTTAAGGTCTGGTTAAAGTCTTCGGAGGCAGACGGAGGCGAAGACAGACGGCTCACCGCGCCATCACGACGAATTCGGAACGGCAGCGAGGGAGGGCGAAGTGAAAACCGGTAGAGTTGCGGGTGTACGAGTAGGCATGGCGTCGGCGAGACCTGCCGGAGGAGGTGTCGGGAAAATGCTGAACCCAAGGGCCGACAGAATCAGGACAACAAAAACTGGGACGCAGCGACGAGAGGACGGGACGGGAGTCGAGAGGAGGAGCCGGTTCTACCAGGCCTCGGGTGCAGTACGATGAGGTTCTACTGACCCATGGAAGTCGTACGGTAGCGCTACATCCGGAGAGAGGCAGGCAGGCGAAAGAAAAAAGATATCCACTGCGCTCCGACCGACACCGGCGTCCAGGCAGGCCCCGTCCGTGGCTCCGTCCGTCACCGCTGGCTGGGAGCGAGGGCGCTGGAATAGCTCCGGATTCAGGAGTGCGCTGGAAGCAGAGCGCTACAGAGCGCGAGTGTATCTTGCCATGTGGATCCAATCTTCCTCGGGACTTTTGTCCTTAGGCGGCGTGGCTGGCAGGGCAGGGCAGGAGGCGAGGAGACAGAAAGCAGAGGGCAGCGCCAGACCGAGGTGGTTGTTGTCGCTAACTCTGTTCGCTCTCGTTGGGTTCCGTCTCCCCGTCTCCCCTTCGACATTCCTCCCCTCCATCCTCGCGCGCCTTCTTTCTCCTTCGGGAATCCGCGTCGAGAATTTTATTCACATCCTCGTCTCAATTTGATCTCATTCGGTTCGGAGGCAGGCCCGGGATCCGCCCGACGTCTCGCTTGTTGTTGCCACATTGTCCCATTCATCTCTTCCTCGTTTGATTCTCTCTTTACATTCGCCTCCCTGGCCGCTCCCGTCCTCCCCCTCTCTTCCTCCCTCTCTATCTGTCTCGCGCGATTCGATCTGCCCCCGAGCCGAGGTGGAATACGATACTGTACAATACAGTTCGCGTACAATTGTCCCATGCTCATGAGCTCAACGGCCCGAGAAATCTGATTCTCTTTCGTATTCGTGTACAACCTCGCTCTCGCTCTATCTATCCCCGTCCCCATCAGCATCAGTGCCTCCTTCTCCTTCTCCCCCATCCCCCCCTTCTTGAGCGCGCATCACCGTGCAGCACTTGCCATCCCCACTCCCTATCTATCTTTCCCCTTCTCTCCTCCTGCCTCCTCCGCCTCCTCTACCCGACCGAGAGTGTAGCCATTGCGGACAGCAGCAGTCGTCGTCGTGTGGAGTCTGTGTGCCTGTCGGATCATGATATACTTCTGAGCTCTCCTCCCGCTCCCTTTCTTCTTCTACATCCAGCGTTGCCTGCCAGGAGTCGCTCTTGTACATTCTTCCCTTCTTTCTTTCTTCGGACATCAGTTCAGTGTATGCTGTGTAGCGGTGTGTGTTGGGTTTGCTGGGTCTCAACGGATGGGACCTTTGTAAAGCGTAAGCGGGCGCGAATACTTGTGAGCGTTCTTTGCCCTCGGTTTGTTTCGGACGAGTGTGCGAATTCTGGCGAAGGCGGGCGCGGATCAGCGAGCGGCCTGGTGTAGATAATTAGGTTAGCGGAAGACTCTATGTGTTGGGCACGTTCATGTGGAGCAGATTAGACGAGACCGATCACCATGAGAGTAAGCTTTTGCAGGCAAGACGTGGTATCGAGCACTCGACGCCCGACCATTTCCCTGTGTATGGAAGCTCGTGTCAGAGATGAGGTAGATGGAAATACGCAGGAATCAGAAGGGTATGCGGCGAGACGAGGCGCGTTGGAACATTATCCAGCGGTGGGATCGAGGACTGCCTCGAGTAGCGAGGTCGATCCCGCTTTAGGGAAAGGACGCAGAGACGATTTCAACTTAGAGCAAAGTCGCGGGAAGACCGGTTTTGACAGACGGGACGCTCAACAGAATTCCATAGCCAAAGCAGGATTCAATCATTCCAAGGATGAATGGAGATTGATGGAAGACGTGTCGCAGGACGTTTCGAGGGCTTTTGGTAGCAAGGATTGTTCGCCCTTCAAGGATGATTACGTTATTCGCAACCAGTCTCTCTACGAGAGACGGACGAGAAGTCTACCGGCTGTGTCGAAATCGAAATCTCCGTCCTCGTCCATCTCTTTCTTCCAGAGCACCTCCGAATTGGGCAAGTCTATACTCGTCACCGAGCAGCAGGAAGCAGCTTGCCTCCACGACACCATCGAGTTTCACACCCTCAGGAACCTGAGCTCCACCCTCCGGAGGCAGGTGGTCAAGGGCTGCCTCATCCTGGTGGTCGGTATTGCGGTCGTCTACTTGTTCATGCAGTTCCTCCTGATAGCTGTTCCGCCGATGCTTCATTTTAAGAACAGCTATCTGCAGAACATTACCAGCTTCACCAGAATTAACCAAGGGTCCTCTCAGTGCCAAATTCCCCTCCGAGCGCACCCTCTACCTTGGGTGTTCGCTGCTCTGATCTTGATAGTCGTCGGATCGCGTTTGGTCGAGCTTCAATCCAAGTTCTGGAAGCGCGGAAGGCCGACGTGCACGCAATGTGTGGACGGGGATCAAAATCGTTGTCGAGTTGAGGAAGCTGACGAGAGGGCTGCCAGAGCGCAGCTCGCCAAGCAGCAATTCATGGCTTACGTGTTCCACAACATCCGAGGTTAGCATGCGTTCCGCCAGCCGATACGATGTCGCATGGGTTGGAGTGTCTGCAATCGAGTGTTGGAATATATGTTTCCTCTCTTAGAAGTGCATTTTAACACCGATTTCGTTTATAAGTGGTTGAACCTATTTTCATGTACGAATGAGCATCTCGATGATTTTGCGGGCCTCGATGCTCGCATGTTTTAGGTGCTCCTTCGTTTCGATTACTGAGTATTCTTCATTTTTTGCATTGATCAGTACCGTTCAATGCCATTGTACTTGGTCTTGGGCACATGCGAGCCACCGGAGAAGGTGAAAGATCACTTTGCCAAGTGGGCGAGAAGATGGATCTTGTGGAAATGATGCTGGACTGTGCGGAGACCATGACTAGCGTTCTTGATGACGTTACTGATATGGGTCAGTGCTCCCTTCCGTTCCTGAACGTAGTTCAAACAGTTTCGGTATGCAATCGTAGCTTTTCTCAGATGTCGCCTCTCTGCGCAAAGTTCATGGTGTTGAAAATGCTCTTTTTGTGTGCAACAGGACAATGGGAGGTCGGTCAGATGGAAGTTCACAAGGACGAGTTCGGTCTTCTTGGGGTCATCAACTTTCTGTCTTGGGGGTTGAAAGAACTCCTAGACCAAAACCAAATTAGTTTCAAATTGAATATAGACCCCACGGCACAGGAGCTTCTTACAATGCACAACGTGATCGGAGATAAACAACGCATTGTGCAGACCTTAGGTACGGTGATATCAGAGACTTGCAGTTATATCTCTTGTTTCGTTCATCTACACATTTTCGAGGTAGAGGTTGTTCTGAACTGGGAGTGGTATGTTACAACCCATATAGTACTCATGAGGTGTTTTATGTTGTGCAGGAAACTTCCTTAGCAATGCAATTAAGTTCAGTCATCCCGGAGGGAATGTGGAACTGGAAGTGATGTGTGAGGACGTCGTCGATGCCAAAGAAGTCGAACTTCCAAGTTCAAGCTCGACGGCTCCAGGGTTGCTGCGAAGAGGTCGAACTTCTTCTCTTTCCTCGAGGAAGTCACTGAAGGGATCTGGTGCCACTGCAGAACTCTGTTCGAAAGCTCCCAAACCACGATCATATCAAAAGAAAGAGACGGAGAACAAAGTGGCTAGATTGAGAATCTCTGTCAAAGACGATGGAGTCGGTGAGTTACTAGTTATTCTTCCAGCTTAAGAAGGTGTTTGTGTTGTCGGATTTACGAATTTCGATATATTTCGGTATCTTCTTTAGCCTACACATGCGGTAATTTAACCTTATACCTGGATTTGATTTCAGGAATATCTGAACAAGATCAGTTGAAGCTATTTGAACCTTACTCGTTCGTGTCCTCGGGATGGGTTCAAAAGGCTGGAATCTCCGGACTCGGCCTTAGTATGGCTCGTCGTTTTGTCGAGCAAGTGGGTGGACGTATCGGTGTGGAGTCTGAAGAAGGGAAAGGGAGTACTTTTCACTTCTGCCTTCCCTTCCCACTAGTGAGAAGAGAACCCAACGCCACTCAGGAGGTTCCTGCCCCTTGTGGAGTTAGCCCTAAGGACGAGCAAAGTACGACCAGTCCTGTGCGTCCTACAGCTTGCATAGATGAGACATTCAAAGAGAAGAGCGCGGGCAACTGCACGAGGTCTTCTGCTTGCAGCAAAGATAAGTTCTTTAGAAACCGGAACGCGAAGACTACGACTTGTTCTGAGCCGGAAAGTAGCTCCTTCAAAAGGAGGGTGCTCCTCGTGGAAGACACACAAATCAATAGAGTGAGTAATTTACCCTGTGGTCCTATTTTCCAGAATAGATAGCCTACCTTGCAAGCTCACATACAACTGGGCTTGTCTTCTAACAAAAAGGGTGGTGTGTTTCTCAGATAATCTTGAGGAAGGTGTTACAAAACCTTAACTTGCACTGTGATGAGGCGGAGAACGGGAAAATTGCTGTGGACTACTACAAGGAAGGGAGGACTTATGATCTTATTCTGATGGATAAAGAAATGCCGGTCATGGATGGGCATGAAGCTACGAGACAGATCAGGAGAATGGGCGTGAATACTCCTATCATTGCCCTCACAGGCAACGCGATGCCCTCGGACAGAGAGCTTTTTTTTGAAGCAGGAGTGGACGACTTTCAAACTAAGGTGAACATACTTGTCCGCCATGCGTCTTTGTAGCTTGTGTATGCCGGTTGCTTGTCATTGGTTCATTCGAAGGAGATGGAATGTACTACGTGCTACTCTTGTTTGATACTTTTTTGCTCGCTTGTTTGTGCAGCCATTATCAAGAGATAAACTTGTCCAATTGTTGTCTAAGTTCGGGGTGGAAAGTTCATGCGTGACATCATGATGACAACCAAACTCCTAGTCTAGCTCATTAAGAGCTGCTGTAAATTTTATAATCTTAGATAGCATTTTTTGGCTCGTGCTAGAGGTTAGTGGAAAGTGTGGGAGGGTTTCAACGAGTGCTGCCGTATGGCAGCTTTTTAGCAGAGCATGAGTGTTCTGTTTCGTTGGAGGGTACCTTCCCGCACGAAAGAGGAGCATGCATGCACAGTTTGTTCCTCCAGGGAAAGGCCAAGTGAAGATGGAATCGGGTCAATCTGGCACCATTCTCTTTTGCCCGTCAGATAGATACCCATGGACAGAGAACAGAAGACGAGTTTGAGTCACCTATAGGATCCGAATTGAAAATCGAAAGTAAAATTTAGTCGTCACTTCGTGGAGAGCATGAAAGGGCATCCACTTTCTCCCTTCAGAGGGTTTACACAGTCGGTCAATATCGAGATGTAACTTACTATTTTTGTGGCTCAGAGCTGCAATCTGAATATGACTTGTATAATTAGTACATTTTCAATATTCAGCTGAGGGGAAAAAATTTCTTTCCAGTTGATTTGTGAATTCAAATTTCTCCTTTACAGCTGATGAAGAATGATTCTTAGCTCTTGTTCCCTGTTGTCTTGTCTACTTTCGCGGGACCTTGTGTGGTTAGTTGAGGCATGCATATGAAATTAACGAAGAAAATTACTGGAAGAATTTTATGCAATCTTGTCTACTGAAGGAAGAAAGTCTTGGAACTTGTGAATTAAAAACTGTGAGGGCTTCATGTTATATTTTTGAACGAAGTTGTCATGAAAGCGAGTGTGTTGGACACGTAACAAGCGCCAAAATCTATGCAGAGAACTACCAAGTCATATCCGCCAGTTCTAGACTGTGATGAAGGAGAAAACTCTGTTACCATGTGGACGAATGTGCCCTTCTACGTCCGTAAGATCTGTCGACTACGGTGTTTCATGGAGACCACGGGGAGATTTGTGATGAAATAGCTCATTATTTTCCCTCCATCTAGTAAATTACATCGCCGGTTCAAATCGGCATGTGACTTCTCACGCGTTCATTGAGATCCGTTTCTTCACTGTTGCGGTGTGGGCGCGATTATGAGCACGTTGTTCTCTCCCACGGAAGGGACGGGAAAGGTCATCAGACAGAAATAGCTAGGGGCCAGGGCAGGAAGAGAAAGGAGTCCTCGGTGTACGCGTGCATTGTTTAGCGGAAAAGTGCAGACTGCCATTTAAAGATGATGCCATTCCACTGGGCAAGCATGAGGAGCAATGTTGGAGGAGATTGACGTGAGGAGTAACTGCACTCTACCACAACCTCGTGATGAAGAAGTTGCTTGCGTCCATCAGCCTATTCTTCCCAAACCGTGCATGGCAAACCTCTTCTTTGAAAGGAACATGACGTAAACTTTCCTTTTCACTCGGGGCAACATAGCTGGAATTCACAAGCGAGTGCCACAAGAAAGAGAGTTTGAGCATCAACGTGAAACTCTACTCCAACTAGTCATTCATCCACCTTCGGAGGCCAGTTAGCGGCTTTGGCTTGAAAGCTTTTGAAAGACTGGCTGGTTGGCCTCAGTGCACTGCCGAAGAAAGAGTGTCACTCGATAGAACAGATTTGGAGTGATGCGGATCAATTTGGGCACGAGCCCAGCGGACAGACCCGACGCACGCTGCATGATACGCATGCTCCCATATATTCTGTACGTGTGCCACATCTTCTGTTTCGAACTCGGCTGTTTGCTCAGAAGCTGATTATTACGCTGCAGCAACAGAAGCTGCTGCTTACACACGGTCGGCTTGGAGATCAAGCCCCGCACCACGTGTCGTCCCGCCCTCAGCCCTCTAGTTTAACTCTCCAACTTTTAGTTCCAAGGCTAGCCTGGTTCCTGGCATCATCCCGCTCACGTTTCCTAGACTCTTTCCTCTCATTGCTGTGAGGGATGTTTCAACCATCTCCGAGCTGTTTGTTGTACTCCTTCATTCCCACATGAGTTTGGATTTTCTTGCTTGCTTCGCTGTTACATAGTCTTGTTGGTCGTGGCTTCCGAGCCTGCAAGGAAAGAGTTCTGTTGACGGGTTGGAGTGGAGTCCTTCGCAAACGCTGCCTTAGAATTCTAAAGATCGGAGTGCCAGTGATCTCATGCAGTTTTCACATTGTGGTTCCTTTTCCTGAAGACTTACTTTCACCTTTAGAGTCAAAGTTAGTTACCATCGCCTTGCCACCGACGGAATGCACACACGGATGATGGCAGTCTGCTGCTGGAAGTGCCACATGTTAGCTCCTGCGAGGGTCGCCTCGCCATGCTGGTTTGAACCGTGAATCTTACTTCGAGTGCGATCAACGTCTGTCATTGCCCCCGGATCAAGCACCCTGCCATTCGTTCCCGAGGTTTGTAAATGGACGAAATGCACTGTCCACTTTGTCAGCTACTTCTTGAAGGATAATAATCATGAACCTGCGCCCATTCAACTCTTTTGAGCGCTAAAGACATGTACAGTGCACGCCTCGGAGAAATAACGTTAATACTCGCAAAGAGTGGTGGTAGGCAGCCCTCCTTTACACACCACTCAATAGTATAGGGAAAAGTTCAGGATAAAACTGTTTTCCCGGATTGAAGACAAGTGTGCAGAAAGATTTGCTTCAGACAAAGAATCCTTGAAAGCATCGAGGCAAAGCCATATGATTTAAAAGACTCTCCATATGAAGAAAAAAGGAAGGCAATGTTTGCTAAAATGATTTTTCGGTTCAACAGAACTTCGTTTCAAATTTCTAGTCCATCATCAGCGTAGTGGTGCGAAGGTAACCCTAGCAAGAGCAAACAAAAGATACCAAAGGAAAAGTTGACTATAGACGAAAGCCTATATGCACATAGCCAACCCAAAAGGGAAAGCGATAAGGCACATGGATGCATTTACTTCTTCGGTTCACACAAGAAATATCGAACATAACCACAGCAGCGCAAGCACGATTGGAAGTTGCAAAGCTTTTATCGCACTCACTAGACTTCATATAGTTTAGTGTTTATGCTCATGGTGGAGAAGGCTGGACGTACAATACGATATGCTGCGTTTTTGTTTAAGTTGATTCCATCATGAAAACAGAACATTAAATCTTTTCCAAGCTTATAATGCCAGTTGCTTCTTTTACAAAATGCAGTCAAATATGTCTTTAGATTGAGTAGAGAAAGATCTATCAAGAAAGTGGCGAGGGCCAACGCTCGTATGATGGCGGAAATTTATTATTGATAAATTCATGTTAACTGGAAACTGGACAAAATGTTGGCATTGACGTGCAATCTCACAAAATGGGCCATGTTTCATCCTTGAAAAAACAATCACTTTATGCCATGTACAATTTTGCATGTCCATTTTTCACAAAATATAGTCACATGTATTTCGTTTGATTAGAGAACAATGTACAAGAAAATAACTTAGTATACCGCTTGTTTGATGATTGAAACTAATTATCGATAGAATTCATGGTCATAGGAAGCTGGCCAAATTGATCGCACGGATGTGCAGTACACAAAAAGTGGACCAGTTTTTCATCCTGGGACAAACATTTCCTTTTTGACATGTACACATTTCCAGGTGTGTCTTTGACAAAATGTAGTCATATGTCCTCGGATTGAGTAGAGAGAGACCTAAAAAGAAAATAACGAGGTCTACCGCTTGTATGATGATGTAAATTAGTTATCGATAGTGTCGATGTTCCTTGGAAGCCAGCCAAAATGATTGCACGGATACAAAATTTGGACCGTGTTACATCCTAAAGGCAGTACACTCGTTATGAAAAGAGTGCACATATTCATAATCTTCGTGACATAGCAGTGAGCAGGAATCCACATGGTCTATTGTTCGACACCATGTATGACTGACTGTCTCAGCTTCATTTGGATTTCTTGTCAAGACGCATTAGGATTCTTGCAAGCGAAGGAAGAGGCCGCAACAGCCGTGGATCATAATCTAAAGGACATTTCTTCTTCTTTGCTGCGTGGTTTCTAAACAATACGGCGGTATGATCAGAAGAATCAAACAAGGGCCGGTACAGTTCCCTGCCATCTTTGTCACTCGTTCAAACATTCTTGAGGATTCCAAATGATCCGAGGTAAATCTATAGTATAATGTCGTAAAGAGAACTCGCAGCCTAGGAGTTTTGAAGATCTTTGGAGGAATTTAAAGATAATGCCCTCGGCTTTGTTCTTCTTCATTTCCCGCGGTATGATGCTATGTTGGCCAGTACAGCCAGCCAACCCGGTAGTGAGATTGGGCGCTCCGCATCATCATGACGAGGATCACAGCTGACAGGAGCTGGGAACGAGGTTGGCGTGATAACTGAATCTTGGAGGATCTACTTTTGAGGAGATTTGGGCCCGGTGCTGACCTGGTCGTCTCACTTTCAATATTGATGACCGGAGAGATGAGGTGTGAAAGATAGAAGACGGAGTAAGAAAGAGGACCGAACGAGAAACCCCCAATCCAGCCATCAATCGATGACCTTCATCCTGGCTGTCAGCGAGGCAATTCGTTGCAGCAGCGTTCATAAGGTGGACAAAATCCAAAAAACGTCCACAAGAAATCGAGGAGGAGACGTCATGTAGAGGTAACCCGAGGCAGGGCAGCGCAAGGTGGGGTGCTGTTGTTATTGGTTACAACAAAGAATGTCCCTCCCTCTCTCTCTCTCTCTCTCTCTCTACTCGTTTTAGTTGGAAACTGTTCAGAAAGCACAAGTCGGGACTCGGAGTGTCAAGGGATCTGATTCTCCCCCATCTTCTGTCTGACCTGAACTTTCATGGATATCTTGTGCAGCATTCTGTGGATACGACGGACTGACTGACTGCTGCTACTTTGACTCACCCTTTACCCACGACTGTGAAAACTGTCCTTCTCATTATACACTTCTCTAGACTACACTACACCACAATACCATTGTGGAGGATTTCCATGGCGGCATCATGACAGAATACTTTTGGAGCATGATTACAAGAAAGCAGGAGGCGGTCAGCTTGTCTGTGATTTTTGACACAGAGGCACCATTTGTGGACACGGTCACATCTAGTCCAATGAAGGCATCACAGTCATACCGCTGAGAGACCACGTAACTGTAGGGAGTCCAGACCGGGCCCTTTGAGGGAGCCAGGTTTTGTCCAGCATGCGCAGGAATCAAGATAGACCTTGTCCCTTTCTGAGCGTTTGTGCTCGGCAAGCGTCTAATTTGATGGGAGCTCAAGCCAGCCTGGTGCTCCGCCCGCGCTCCCTGGGATTCGGCTCGGCTCGGCTCCTAGTCTTCTTATTCTTGTCTTGCTTTTAGCATGTTCTTTTGGGATACTTTGGGTCCCCGAGGGTATGCTTTTTGGGCGTGGGTGGGAGGGAGGGAGGGAGGGAGGGAGGGTGTCTGGAAAGCATTCTCCACTTCTTCGGAGATCAGTTCTTAGTTGCTCTCACTGGATCAGCAGCTGATGAGAAGTGCATTGTCGCTCCTCTCCTCCACTGGGTCCATTCGTGCTGCTGCTGTGCCTGTTCACACGCACGCTCTGCTTTTGAGCAGATATTTTGCTCCTCCTGGAGGTCGGTCTGTCTGCACACCTCCCCGCCCAGTCAGTCCCTTTCATCTGGAGGCCCTCCGCCCTCCTGGTCACTCCTCGGCGCTGCTGGTGAAGTCTCATCATCATGCGCAGAATGACGGAGCCCGAACGGATGTCATGTCGAATTCCAGCTGAGATTCTACCCCCTGTAACGGCAGACACCTCGCAAAAATGACTGGCCGGATATACTTCCCCTTGTCGTGACTCCTCTCTCCAGTTAGCAGCAGGGTCTGTGGGAATCCACCTCCGGAGCCAGCTCGAGCTTCACACATAGAACAATATTTAGAGCTCTTTGGTCTGGCCCAAGAGAGCACATGAAGCTATCTCGAGGGCCGAAAGCATAAGCAACCGGATGTGGTGAAACTTCCAACTTTGTATCACAGCCCTGTCAACCCTCTTTACGTTGCAACGATGGAAATGATAACCCAATCGACTCGAATGATGATTCTATCGATTCAGAAGGCAGATGTATCGGAGCAAACGCAAGATTCATGAAGAGGTCCGATTCATCTGTTTTCACGTAGTGCGTGAGAGCGAGCTTCCTTGAAGCGCAGAAGCAGAAGACGGATTGTTGATTGGGTGCCTTGGAATTGACACCACGTCAGGCCATGAGGCCGACGCGATCTATGGAACTTTGGAACCTGGCGTGAAGTCAGTAGAGAGCTGGTGGAATGAATGTAAGGAATGCACGCGGATTAAACGGATGATGAGGCGATAATGACGACGTAGGACGTCATCTTGTAGTGCTCCGAGTGTTGTAGCTTTGAAGACGAAAGGTCGTGCAGCGGAAACTGGAAGCTGGATCATCATGAACATCGAATTCTGAAACGCTCTGAGTCTGATGACGACGAAGAGAGACAAGAATGCACAATGAATGAATGAATAGGGAAGCGAAACACTGACGATGCGCAACTCTTGCAGTACGTTGTGATTGCGAGCGTGATTGCCCCGGAATAGAATCAGTAGATGCAGTCAGTCGTCAGAAGGCAGGCAGGCAGGCAGGCAGGCAAGCCGGCACTCATGAGTCGAAACTGTTGAGGCACGTAGAACCTAGGAGAGACCATGAGCTCACTGCACTCGAGAGACTTGCCGGTTAGCGGACACGACGGGGAAGTTTTGAATCTCTGATGTCATGTCTGAGGGCATGAAATGTGCCCGGATGAAAATATCTCTCTCGAGTCCAGTCCCGAAGTCGGACCACCTTTTCCTCACCCCACGAATTTTTATTCTCAACATCTGTCAAATCTGTTGAAACGCTGTGTCAGAAGACATCGATTCACTTCAACAACACCACCACGTGAAACGCTCTCTTGGATTTGAAGCTCGAGCTCCATGGAGTGCTGCAAGCAGCGTGCCAGATATAGGGCCATCGCTCTCATTTGTCCCCACCACATTCTTTTGGGCTCGACAGGAAGAAAAGATAGCGAGTGAGTGTCCATCTTCACATTAATTCCCTCATGTCTGGACTGGACTGAGCATTCACTATGCCAACGGCGAGCTGATCGAGGTCCGCGTGCATGCTTCTTCGATAACGTTAACAGAGCGACAAGAGGGGAGCTTCAGATACAGAGCTCAGGAATTATAGATTCCATTCACTCCAGATGTTAATATGACTATGAACTGCGTACATTCATTTACTGGTAGCTTGTTGCATATAAAACTTGCTGAGAGGAAGTCGGAGGTGAAGTGAGTGACGGGTCGTGTATCCGGGACAAATATTCATCCTGGTAAAAATTATATTTTTGGGGTGAAGTACAAAGTGTGATGGGTCCAATTGTCTATACTGCACACACAAACAATTGCAGTTCACGACGACGAGATGCAGTGAAGGGAGGGCATCTCGAGTCTTCGAGCCTTCAACGAGGTTCGAGCACGGCTCCGGTGCTGTTGAGGGGTACACTCTTGTCTTGTCAGTCCGTGAATACGATGAAAATCGGTCCAATTGATGAACGATTGTATACGAACTATAAGCAAATGAAAGCACTAGACACGTGCATATCAAACTCCTGCCGGCTTCGATTGCTTTCTAAAACCCAAGAATAAATCCCTGCTTGCAGACGATCGCTGTTTCTTCTTCCACCCGCACGTTCTCGTGACGATCTTCTCCTTCTCCATCCATCATCTTCTCTAAGAGACTGCTAAACACGTAATGTAAATGTGGACCAGCCCGCTCTCGACCATCAGCCCACTTCCTTATAATATGTCAGACTGAACAAGTCCTCGGGTCAAACCAATTCTCGGCGCATACTACCCATCACCTAGTAAACAATGTGACCAGAATTCATCCTCCATCAGACAAGCCAGAGCTCCGCTCTCTCTTCTTCGGTCCATCGGCTGATCAGGGTTTGGGTTCGAGGACGAGGGTGCCAGCGACGGACTCGGCACGGGGAGTTCCTCCACGAGTGTGGCGGCGGCTGTTGGCATAAATCTCGGTGGGAGGGCCTCCTCCTCCACGGTTGACTCGACGACTGCTAGTTTGGACAGTGGGATGACGGGAAGAGGGATTGACCATCATCATGGACTTTGGAAAGGAAGTCCTAGAGTGCATGGCCGTGGACTTGAGGAGGAACGACGGCAGCTTCAAAGCGCCAGCACCAGCTGCAGCTCGCATAGTTCTTTTGTCCTTCTCGTTGTTATGGTTGTTGATATCGTTGCCGTATTGAGAGGAGGAGGAGGAGTAGGAGCGGGAAGAGTGTTTGATGGGATGGGCCAACAGAGCTGGCTCCTCGTTCCCACCATGAGGATCCGACCCAGAGATCGGGTTTCTCGTACTCTTGTGATGTTGATTCTTCTCCGGACCCTGCTCCATGCCCAATGGCTCCTCTCCATGTTGCAAAAGGCTTCGGGGTTTACCGAATGAGCACGAGGCAGGGCGGAAGGAGAACGAGCCCACGGAGTAGTGCAAGACATCGGGAGCTGACATCGCCTCTGACGGGGTCGAGGAAGTGGAGACAGGGATGCTGGTGCCTGTGGGAGGTGGCAAGTCACAGTTGGAAACGGAGCTCTTGGCTATGATGACAGCGCACTGATTCATGATACTGGCGTAGGAAGCGTTAGCTGTTAGGTGGAACGCTCCGTCCTTGCTCGTGACGGTCGATGCTACTTCATACATCGCCGAACCTGCCGAGCCTCCTCCTCCTCCTGCAGTCGGGGGCGGATGGGGACAAAGTAGCACAGCTTCGATGCCTGCAAAAGAGCCAAACACCGAACATTGCAAGGGTCGATGTTATCGCAAGAATTTTGTCGGCTAGTTTGACGAATTCAAGAGTCCTTCCATGCATGATTCGCACCATTCTTCGGTACTGGTTGGCAGCACGCATGCATTCAGTTCTCTCTTTCTCCCCTTGGACGAAACCTGCCCGCGAGGGTCACGCTGTCCAGATTACGTAAAAAGTGTAACAAACACGAAGCTGCCCATCGGTTCAAATGTCCGTTCATATATGACCCTCCTTGTTTGCTAGCCTTCGATCTCATATGAGTAGTGAGGGGTTTGAGAATGGCCTATCGAGAATACATGTGTATCATCAGACACGAATAAAAATTCAACACAAAAGCCAGAGACTGGAAAAGGAGTCGAAGAGCTTGTAAGGAACATGAGCGAGGACCCAAAAGAGGAAGGTTGACATTCATGCAGCTGGCGCAGAAGACCCATCCGGAGACAGTTGGTGCCATGGCTAAGCCGGGTCCTCCCGGAAAGATTGGACTCCTCCCTTTGTTAGACCGATGTTGGGAACGGCTGCGTGCAGAAGGTTCGTCATGGTAAGTGCCGCTGTCGGCTTCAACTTGTGATGGCAATTCGTCAGCTCCCGATTCGTGCACCTGCGATTGTGGCTCGATAGCCCAAGCCAAATTGCTGAAGAGCAGGAGCGTGACTAGAGCATACGCCATAGACCATACTAGCACCACCAGCTTCACTTTCTCCATTCCTCCGACACAAGTTCGTTCTCTAGAGCCTCGAGAAGAAAAAGCAAATTGGAAATTCTAGTCGGCTCTTGCTTTGAAGCCTCCAAAAATTGCACTGGACATAAACAAGTCTCACTTTTCTCTCTCTACCGTGGGTCGGAAGACTGCCTGCACTGTTGAGTACATTCTCTCTCTACCTTCAGCTGCAGCTATATATACATATATATGGTTGTATCTTATCGTGATGGAAAATTACCTGCATCCTCTGAAGGCATCACAGAATTACGGTGTAGCGGGACTAGGAGCTCGGATACCCAAACTAACAAGTGACCTGATTATATCACGGGTTGTTGTGCCGCTCAAAACCATGACATGGTCCTCAGTCAATCCTCATCTTCATCTTCCACGCCACCAACTGAAGCTTGCTTCGTGCACTTTCCATCCAGATCCTCATCAATACACGCGGGAAAATACAGTACCGTAATCGTCTGCAGTTCTGGAACACTAAAGCAACTAAACTAAAGACATCTCTCACTAATTTTCCATCTGCATCCTCCACTATAAGTGTTTTGGACATCTATCTGTTTCCCGAGATTAGAAGCGACTACTGTAAAATTCAGTATCATGTTAGGCGTATATGGTCCCGGACCCATCTCATGGAGTCCTGCGAAACTCATTTGCAGTACGAGAAAAAGTACGTGAATAATCACATGGATCTTCGTGAAAGTAATCGAGGAAACTTGCTTCTTTGTTACTTTACAGCTTCAACAGGTGTTGACACACAGGGTTCAAAAAAACTAGGAATGCCAAACTAAGAATACCATAAGGAAATCAGTTGTTGGGCTTGGAAAGTGTTAGGTTTCCAGCATAGCGAGCTAAAGGTGAAGCATGAATTTCAACGAGACTCCTGCGTTCATCCTAATTCGATGCTGGATCCCAAGTCCTACCACAGTGGAAGCGGTGAAAGTTGCTCTAAGTCAAAATCCAGATACCAAGTCACAGTCCATCAGTTGTCCTCTGATCACGCAGTTCCTGCGTGCTCGGGAACTGCCCTCGTGGGTGGCCGGGTACATCTGTACATCACGGTTTGTCAACGATGCAACGATAGCAGAGCTTGTCACAGGTGGATCCGTCCATCAACCGCTTCACGTGAATGCGGAAGCTATCTTTACGCCCGCTTTTCTCACTCTCGTGATCCCCTCTCTTATCAGCATACTTTGCCTTGTCTCTGACGTACGTACTTAACCATTTTCAGTTGGGCCTGGTCTGGTGGTCGGACTACGTTGTTCACTCGAAACGTAAAACAGCACGGTCGTAGGCTTCTTCAGAGGTCATCTGAAGTGCTATGAAGACCCCATCATGCAGGACTCGAAACATCTACACTTGAGGACGTGAAGGAACGTAGATTGACACCGGAAACTCATCCCTGAGTATCAATAGTCTTTCAACATCATCTCCCCAAACACTGGCCAATCTGAACGCGGAACTCTACCTCAGGATCAGATCTCACCAATAAGCATTTCTTTGCGAAGATTGCCACTGCAAGCGCGATCTTGATAGGATCACATGATGGCTAAAGCCTAAAAAGCCCTACAGTGGGCTACTTGGATAAGCGACACTTACATCGCACAATTAACTAAGGTTCAAGATGTTGCTCTTACGACTAATGCACAGATCCAGGAAAGGAGGACTTGACAAATGTCGTTTCAGCGTGACTTGCAGGGAAGGTAGATGCACACGTCCGAGCGTCCTACCTCGGATCAGAGTTAGGCAGGCCTCCGCCGTAGAAAGCGTGATAAACACTCCAATGGAAAGCATTATGTAGTATAAGAAATCGATCATCTTTGAATCGGAGATCAGTGGCCGATGTCAGATCAAGTGAGTGAAGGTGATTGAAAAGAGGATATATTGATTCGATAAATACACCCTATAATTTACAACCCTAAATTCGGAATATGTCCCGAAAACATCATTTGCTCGTCTGACAAGGATTCTTCAGTAGATAAAGCTGTATAGAAGCGCATGGCCTATCTTGGATATATCTGAGCTAGACAAATATCTGATTGATAAGTAATCTGTAGACCAGTTTTTTATCCCTGTGATGTGGAGCAAGAAAAAGAATTGAGGCACTGAACTAAACTGGTTTTCATTCTATTCACAGGAGCTACAAGTGAATAAACCTTTGTGTAGCCCTATCAAGACTGCATAATACAAACTACACACTACGTCAAGTATAGAACGTTGAGAACAAAACTGATGGACGGCACCAAGTGTTACAATCCACGTGATCGCATGCTCCACTACGACAGCGGTGGCACGAAGATAGTGGCCAGACCTTTCTCGACAGTGATATCAATGGTGGGTCCATAAAGCATAGGATCGTTGCTGCCATCGCCATATGCACCCTGCCCTCTTGCCAACACCTCCCCGTCTAAATCGATATAACCACCCTGTATTCTACCTCCGACTATACCCCCCGGGGCTAGGCGAAAGGCCTTCACCTGTATCATCACACGAAACGGACAAAGGCTAAACTGTGATCAAATGACACATGTCAAGACTTTTAACCACGGTGAAAAATAATGCAAGACAATCCGGACGAGGGCAGAAGGTCGCGGATTTGTGATTCATGTGTGCGTCAGAAAACCCAAAATTTGAGTCAACTCTGTAAAACGTACTGACCACGCTCTGAAGCTGTTGTTAAAGACATCGGATCCAGGAGGGGGACGAGGTGCTGAAAATCATGATGAAGTCGCACACTGACTGCTGCCATACACTATCTCCTTAACAATCAGTGCTGAAGGAAAGGTCTCGACAAATACTGTCCCAATGCATCAAAGCGTGCTGTACTTTCCACTGACTGGGTGTTTATTTACACAAGCAGTATCCCGAAGGAAGAAAATCCTATCTTCAACAGAAGAGTTCGAGCATTCTGGCAACACCAGGGAAGTTACCTTGATATACTGGACATATTTAGATTTGATGTGTTGACCGTTCTTCATACCCAGTAGGATGCCGACAAGCTTCCATCGAGGGCAATTCCGAATAACGATCAAGTCAAGATATCCATCGTTGAACTGCAAACGCAATTGCTTCATTAGTTATTTCTATTAACAAGAGTATCTATACAGAAATATAGGAAAAAAAAAAAATGCCCGTAAATATGGTAGATTCGTATTCAGCATGATAATCTAAACACATTCAGTACTTTGTGGTAACATCCAGTCGAGGCACTGAAGATAAACTTCAGGACTAAATCAAAGTAATGTCTACCTTGGCTTTTGGTGCAGGCATGACTTCTTCAGCGGCGTAGGGTACATTTTGTGCCCAGATGTAGATAAATGTTCCCTCTATGGAGCGCCATTCGGATGAATGCAGAGGAGATGCCGTCGGCCCATAGTAGCCGCCTTTCCGCCATGTCCTGTCAGTATCGCTCTCTCCAGATCTTTCAAGAAGACTAGTTGCCTCTTGACCTGTCAGAGGTTCACCGGCTTTCTCAGCTCCCGACGCTGGTATGTAAGCCAAGCTTCCGGTGTACTCTCGCAGCCACAGAACTCGCACAACAGCCTATAAAATATGAAAGTGGATCAACTGTCTGCATCATCACAGCCATGGAGCACAAAACTAACTCATAGCACTCACAGAGATGGTCAGACTGACACATATACCTCAGCCACTACAGCTCCAATCATGGAGCTCAACCTGCTTCCCACTCTGGATCACAAGGACTGAAGAAATCCTAAATAGCTCATACAGGAAAATGACCACGCGGCCAAAGTGTTGACGTGGAGACACTTCAATACATGTTCAACGAAGAACTGTCGATATTCACAAACGACGTGGTCTATCGTCCACTCTTCAAAACGACTAAACCATTAAGGGTGGTGTTCTGACATATTTGTCAGAACACCACCCTTAACAATTCTTCTGTCAGAGTGAACGACAGTTGTGAGTTTACGCTCCTCTATTTGACCGAAACGGGGATCAACATCATTTCGGTCTCCTTCATGGAAACTTATATTAGATCCCTTTTCTATATATGATCTGATATAGGTCGTGAACGAGAACCTGTTATATTGACTGATTGAGTTGAGTCAGCATCATCTGTTTGAGTGCAAATCCTAATTGATGAACAAGGAAGTGCTCGCCTTAACAGTCTGCATGTATTGGCTATTACACCATGTAAAATGAAAATGCATAACAAATGAAGCTCATAACCCGGCCGAAACTTATGCAGTTCCCGCTAGTTATGAAAGAAGCCATACTAAACCATAGACAGTGGCGGTCAGGATAAGTATAGGCCCAACGAAGGTTAAGTCTGATTTTTGCTCGCATAATCTGCTGCTTACCCATAGATCGATACGAAGATCACCCAGAGACCTGAACTTCTCAGATTCGAAATCCACATCCGCAACAAACCCTGCACATCAGTATTCCCAGATTAGATAGTTCTGTCCTCTTGAGAGATTAGCGTTAGGCTACTGACGTCTCTCTGCTAAACACGAATTTGAGATCACGAGTAATAAATGCATGTGAGAACACAGGTTACATCCATAGTTCAGACGAGTAAACAGAAACATGCCGCCAAACTTATGATTGGTACATACCCCAAGACAACATCAAAATGCTGTGGTATTTGACTTGCCCTTGCACGACTGTGGCAACATCAAGTGTCTGCTTGCATCCTGAAGAGCATGATTGTAAGGCCAAGTAGTATTCATGTCATTTCTAAACTTGCGTTTCGCAATTTTAGACACTGCCTCATTTAACACTAAATTAAAAACTAAAAGTATGCTGTATGAAAAATGCAGAGAAATACAACAGTGAACAACTGGAGGAGAAATAATAAGAAGGGTTTTTCTGAAACCTCGAATAATGGCGAAGGCTGCGTTAGCCTGGTTAAAGTACTCATTCCCAGATTCTAGCAAAGACTTTGCCATCCCATTTCCAGTTCCTGCAAAGAACTGATCGTCAGTGAGAACATCTGAACACTTCGGAAAATAAGGCCTGTAATCTATCTTGAATATCAAAACATCATCCATGGATACACCCTGATTCTTGTGATCAGTCATACACGCGAGCTGTAAACACAATAATTTTGTTTTCATGACATGCCCTTCAGCAAGGAAAAAATCTTTACAGTTGAGAACAACCATGAGAGGTGCGCATTGCAGTGTGGGCCAGGATACCTGCTGGAATAATGCCAAGAGGCATCTGGATTGCTTGCTCCCAATCTGCTCGTTCTAATAACCCATTCACAACCTGCACGAATGGTAGATTCCAGCACACACGCGAAGGAAATTCATATGCAGAGCTTATATTGAAAATCAGTGAATGTGGTTCGACTACAGATTTAAATTCTTCTCGGTAGTAGGGCTACTTGGACAAGAATACACAAGCACTAGTTCCTGGTAGTTGAGGCAAGCGGACTGAAACTTCGTATCGCCGGATGTAGACATGCCCTTTATACAAATTATACAGATTTTCCTCTGGTAATACTTCTAATCAGCAACCAAAAAATGAGAACGTTAGATTACCTACCATTTGAATCATCATCACTACTGCTGGAAATCAGATCCGACAGGATATCAAAGTAAATGCAGACAACAATGGTCAGATGACACACCTCTGTAAGAACACCATCACCACTTACACATACGATCCCATCGTATTTCGATAACTCAACCGACTTTGCTAGTTCTTTGGCATGACTGTGATGTTCAGTTTCTGAATCAAGGAATATTGACAAAATTAAAAAAGTCATAGATCTTGGTAAAAGTGGATTTTGTACTTCTGGCTTAATTACCATGAAATACAAAATTCCCAGCAATCAAGACGAAAAGGAATACACCGTAATATAAGACTTCAATACCGCAATCTCCACATTTCGCATTAGTCTTCAAGCATAGCTACAAACTTCATAAGGCGGGCCTTGGATACAACATCGGTTAACATCTACAGCATATTTGCATACGATGAAACAGACAGTCAAACTTGCTCCAAAGTTAAGTCAAACTCAAACCTTTCATTGTTATTTCGATTCCAGCTTTCTTAAAAAGAGGTTCCACGACTTCCGCAAAAACCTTCTTTCCAAGATTCTTGCCACCGAAAGGATTTACAAGTACCAGTAATCGACGCGGCCTTCCTGAATTCCATCGTGATAATGAAGGGTATAAGAATTTAAAAAAAGGGGCAGAACCAGTGGAGGGCTACATGAGAGATGGATAACCAAGTCAATCTCGAAGTCAGATGCTCTTTAATCCTAGAAGAATAGACTACTTACCTGAATTATCGTAGACACGCTGCATAGCATTGTACCAATCTTTGCACGCCTCGTTACTTCTAAACTCCAAGGTTACATCGCGCTCTACCCTCTTTTGGGCACTTCCCCAACATTGTACAGATTTTTGATTGAAGGTGTGAAGAGTAATGCTGGATCCACCTCGGCTAAAACCAATGACATCATTTTTAATATCAAGGGCGCCTTTGCTGTCTTTATGAAAGCTGTAATGCTCAGTTTCCCACTGCAGCAACCCTGAAAGACTGAAGGTGGCTGTAACTCTGTGCTTTTCGAGCTGCAAATCCTCTCTTAAAGTTTCCATCGCGATATATGACCGTCTATTTTGCCTCAGCTCACCGACTCAAATGAACTTCGCAGAGCGCGTTCTGCAAGTACAATGGCCCTAACACCTCTACGAAGCTGTGATTCTCCTGTTCAGAATAAAAAGGTCCGCTTGATTTTTGAGGGATAGAACCAACCGACAAAGGCGAAAAATAAATGCGGCCAGCAAAAGAAAGCCAAGTTACATCCCAACCCAGCTTTACATATTCCTTTGCAGAGACATTCAGACCGTTGCGTCAAGCATATATATCCCGATCATGAAGACTCCCAACCCTGACAACCTGGGAAATATTTGAAAATGGTCTCCTAAAAGTCCTCTTAAAAAGAACCAATCAATCCTGTCAAGATCGTCGACGGATTCAGATAAATAAAGGTGCTATCGTTAATTTCGCCAAAATATTTGTTCCCAGAGTCGCTTGTGAACCACGACAAATCAAAAGATATATAGCTTTCAGAAAAGTGCGTTCCTGCGTCCCTTCTCTGTGTGTTCAAGAAAGCTGGAAAAGATGTCTTCGTACCTCCAAATCACTCCTAAATCTCACAACACTAGATCGCAATAACCAATCCCTGGCACGGTTTCCAAAAGATGTTCGAGAGTTCAGATTACCAAAATGTACACAAACATATTATATAAAAGCACCTACCCCTGCTTAGGCTCTCTGTTTACTCCCCACACTTTATCAAGGTGCCATCCACTCCGAAAAAAACTGCTCCCTATCTCTATGCAGTCGAAATGGCGCTGCAGACAACATTATAAAGAATTCACGGCAAGAAAGAAAGCGTGGCCATCGACCTGCCTCTCTCTCACCCACAACCATACAATCGCACATACTTCAGAAAAAGGGAAACAATGCTGTCTTCAGATAAGTTACCCTGCACATTCAGGAATTCCCCACTAGCACATCCGTTCCGCACCCAACTCGACCTTGGAACTGCAAACAAACAGGAAGATGACACGAAGAAGCATCACCTTTAAGAAGTAGGACGGTCGGATGTGCACAAAGGCGCACAGGATCCAGCACACAAGAAAACAAGTCTTCAAGCTCCTAATTACACACACCAGACCGTCGCAAACTCAAATCACTCAACGTCCGACAAATCCAGAACTGCGAAGAGCAAATTTCCAAAAAAAAATCTGCTTCTGCTTCTTCTTCTTCTTCTTCTCCAGCTCTTTTATTCCTTCTGTAGTCTCTCGAGGGCGGATTCCCCGTCCTCCTACTACTCTGGAATCTTAGCGCCTGCCGACGGCTTTCTAGCCCCTCGAGATGCACAGACAGGCGGATCGACAGAGTGACAGACCGACGAGGAGTGGAAGATCTGCATTGGGCTGCAGCGTCCTCGTCGCCTCATGCTGCTGCCTACGCGCTGCGCTGCTCACGACGACGTGGCATGTACATCCAATAGAATCGACTTTACCGCAGCAACCGGGTCGCGGCACTCGTCAACTCAAGTCTCTTCTCGTCCGGGACTGCCGGAGCCCCGGTCAAGGACAGGTTCGACCGGGAAGGGGTCAATAAAGCTCAAGTCGAGACTGTGAGTCCAAGTCTGAGTCGCTGGAAGTGCTTACTGAATACGTGTCGGTGTCGACGACTTCTCCTCTGTGGAGACTACCGGCCGGCTGGAAGTTGGAACCCGGCGTTTTCGAAGCTTTCCATGAAGAAATGTACGATACCTTAGTACATTTGGTCAGACGGATTGCGTGGGCGAAGATCCAAAGGAGAAACTGATGTTGAAACCCCTCAGACTAGGCGAATCGCATATGTTTGAAGCTCCTCGCCGTCTTTGCTCTCCACTCATCATTTGTTGCATACTGTTTACCAGACGATACTACACGGTTTTTCCACATGTTAAGCCACACCAAACCCCTCCTCCCGCATATAATATGATACACCTGACATGTTTGCATAGAATGTGATTGCATGTACTTTATTCTTGGATAATACGGTAAACGTTGATAATGAAAACATGTACCGAAATTTCTATGAAATTTAACAGTAATAGTTTATTTTAGTGAAATATTTTCTATTACTTAGAATATAATTACTTTGATGACATTCAGGAAATTCAATCGCGCTATATATATATTCTTCAAATTTTGTTTGTTTGATACTACATAGTTTGTGATGTTCATCAAAAAATATGATGTATTTACATGTGGTGCTAGTGGTTTACACTATTTGGTTTCATCATCGTAAGATTTGACGGGGTCTTACCCTACCTTTGCTATGCAAATTTTTATACCTACTTATCATTACTTCCAACAGGAGCGCGGAAAGGCAATTTCTCGTAGTTCGTGATAAACGACCGCCAACCACCACATCTTGTCACTAGGCATATGCCTGAAACCACAATCTACGAGTTTGTATGTTTCAAAAATCACATGGTTGCAACATCAAGTTGCGTTTCTTACGACCTCGTGAACCACATGGAAAGTCATGCTAATGACACACTCAATGTTGTATTTGTTCCAGTGTAGCCCAAGGTACGGTGAAGACAGAGGCTATAGGCCATCTACAGATCAAATATTTTGTATAAAGGGATCAAATATTATGTTCTACATATCTGGCCATTGACCACCTAAAATACTTGGTGATGCTTTTAGAGAATTAAATCAATTGAAGATTCTGCTTCAGAGAAATCCAACTTGGAGCTTAAACGGGGCATTACTTTTGCGGGCTTCAACTGGTGAGTCATGTCATGGAACGCTTGTCCTCCCTGGCCGGAGTAGGAGACTATCCTTTACATGCAAGCGAAAGTACAATTCTTGCATAGATTCTATACGTGATAGTGCTATAGAGTTGTGCGAGGAACATTCGAAGCTTCAGTCATCTTGCGTCATCTTCGGTCTCACTGCACCAAGTGAACTGGATGCGGTATAAGAACGGAAATTGTCCTTATTCAACACCTGAGAACAGACAAAAAATGTCATAGAGATTTTGTTTTGATACTATCTTACACTAACAACACGTATTGGGTCAGTACTAGCTTGTCTTACATATTAGTGTAATTTAATGTTGATTTGGTGCATGATTATCTTTTCTCTTCAAACGAGTGAATCAAAAATCTAGTAATAGAAAATGATACATAAGTTCGCGGTTTGTTACCCAAACAAAACGTATTTCGGCCGACATTTTGATGATCATTATTAAACTCAATTGTAGATGTATTCGATATCTTAAAATTTTATAATGCATCTTGGTTCAGCTATTCTATCGGCGGAAGCATGCCTTTGATATGTGATAAAATACGACATACAGTTCACTATATGTATATAGAAGACATTAGACATAATTCAGGTTTTACATTCAAGATAAATCATTTCATGGAGAAATTCACTCTTCAGTTTCTAGTTATTTGTCTCATTTGTTAAAGTGCTGCGGATTTTTAGGTTTTTACTATCATTGTATACATAAGGAGGAGAGTAAGCTTTCAACAAAACTTCTTCTTTGTACCACTTACATACTTTTTATTTGTAGATTATGTCGGAGGTGTGCCTGCCTCAGTCGACACGTAAAGACTTGTTCTTCTGTCCAGATCATAATCCATAGCTGGCCACCAGTGAGTGCAGTTGTGTGATCTGTTGTCTTCCAGATTTCAACATAAATATTGGGAAATACTAAGATCAGAGGCGTCATTACTTCCTCTCGGCTCTTTGGTAGGACTGAGACATAACTCGTCGACATTCATAATTTCAGCAAGATAACGATTATATCAACGAATGTCCCGATCATTTCCACGTGATTCTCTTAGATAGAATACTGTATATTATATATATTCCACTTAAGATTGGAGAGTGTAATTGTTCTCATTACAGTGAACTTCAAATCATACCGACACCATGAAACACTTGGTAATCTCTACTTCACAAATCATGTAACTCAGTTCTTCCGTCCGTAATCTCCAAAGAATTACATATAATATCTACTCATTATAAGGCCTAACATGATTTGTATTGAATTAATAATATTTCTTATTAGAACTATAATCGTGAGCAAAATTTCTGAAGTCTATCTATCCGCATCATTCTAACAAGTGAGACATAGGATTAGATACTGTGAATCCAAGAAGATAGATTTTATCATGAAATGATACAGTTTGAATGTATATCAATTTATGGATTATGTCCTCTGTCTTCTCCTCAAGTTTTGTGAACACTGTGAACAATAGACACGATTCAAAGCCATGTTTATTATAACAGAATGGCTAAAGCAAGATGCACTGCAATGCAAGAAGATATGCAGATATTGTAATCAATAAGAAAAAATAGGAGCATGCCCAACACACCCAAACACTAAGGTAGACAAATATGTAAAACATGTGTTGTCATCCGATAAGTTACAATATGCTTGTGCACCTCTCTGAAAATTTGCAAGTTGGGAAAATGTACAAGCAACAAAACGAACAAGGTAGGCTGAGTACTGCTCATATTTAGATGAACTATGTCCATCCACTTCTTTTGTATGTAATAAAAAAAATGCAGAAAACCTTTTTCAATTGGTAGATGAAAACAAAGAGGAGAAAATGGACTAGGCCAATTTTTAATTTATTCCGGATTGCATCATTCAACTACAGGAGATTACGAAATCCGCCTCGTTTGAAACCTTGGACCTAGTCTGCCCTTCTGGAAAGGAGGATCGGACTAGGTCCAAAGTCAGATCTACCTCCAAGAGTAGTTCGTGCGTGTAACCGATTCACCATGTCTGCATCCCGTTGAAATCACAACTTCTCCGACTTTGGACGACAAACCATCGAACCATGGTTCCATTCATTGCACACTTCGAGAATCTAACACGATCTTGATTCGAGTCAATATCACTCAAATGGATTTGTTGATGTGCTGTGTTACTTTTCATAAGGCCATGAGGTTTGGCGTTGGCAACCTTTTGTGAATGAACCTTTTTCAAATCATAATTATACATTGCTATAACCAACTAATGACATGCTCCTCACATAGTGCTTAAGAGACTATCTTCTACGTGAAATTGAATATTATCTTGTTTAATTTATTTTGAAGTCAATTATTTAACAACATATTTCTATTGCTCTAGAAGTTTTAATATCCATGTATGGAGAGCAGTAGCTAAATCAAAACATATGTGCAATAATCTTAAACATATATTTTTGAATTTTACTTTATTTGTTTACCGTTTGACTTATATGTTTTAAAGTTCTTAGACTTAGTATCACAAATTCTTCATCCCGATGCTAGGCAGATCTAGTTCCCTGCTGAACGAATATTTTTCTTCTTTTAACAGCTTGATTAAGATGTTAGTTTCATTCAATTTTTTTTAAAATACATTATTCTTCAAGCTTTTTACCGTATTTGACATATCAATTTAAATTTATGTAAATAATTGAGTGAATTATTCCAAAAAGATAAAAGATCAGTTTCTAAAAATTAAATGCTCAAAAATTTTCAAAATAAAACCTTAAAATAATAACATGATACTTTACAACTTATTCCTTGCATATAATTAAACATCCTCCTTTACATGTAACACCCTAAATTTTTTGAAATTGCAGATCCTAACTATTTTCTAAATTCTTATATGGTTTGAGTCAAAGTCAAGCACTCAAACTAGATGCTAGATTGTTGACAACGGTAGAACAGAATCATAGATTTAAATAAAGGCTGGAGTCAAACATAGGGTAGATGAGGCCCATGAGAGCCTCATCGAAGGCTACTTTTGACTCCAGCTTCAGAAAATCTTGATGCAGCAAATACAGGATGATAGCGAACATCTCGAGAATGATTGTTCATAAGAATCACGAAGGTCGCTACTATAGCTCGATATTCTACCTATATGCCGAATAGGAGGAGTTTTTATAATTCGAATGTTGCAGCATGAACCCAATCCATTTATGTAAGAAATGTATCTTCAATGTTATCATTGGATTTTCAAAGGCATACTTATGTTAGACTCTATAGCTTGTGAATCAATATTCATTGAATATTTTATAAGTGGATCATTTTAATAAATACCAATACGGGTAATGATAATGAGTCTTATGTAAAGTCACTGAACGTTTGGAAAAACTTAGCAATATTAAATATTGGGGCAATTAGCTATATTACAATATTCACAGTGTGCAATGTGTTTTATTACCCAAACACTCGATTTTGTGTCTTGTGCGTACGATGTTCGTTTAAAAATTAGGAAAGATTAAGTTTAAATATATAAATCCAAGCAACAACATAGAAGGAAAAGGTACATCGAAGTAGCATTGAATCCCCGAGGCATACATTCATGCACTATTTGGCCACACACTCCACTCTCGACAGCTTGTATGTAGTACCTTATGACATAATCCACTTAACATGATAACAAGCAGTACATGCTAAGCAGTTGAACTTTGCTGTACGAATTCCCCAAGTATATCACTTGAGTGTTGGATGTGTTTACTTAAGTAAACTCTCCATATTCTAGGAAAATTTCATTCATGTTGAATCATTATTATTCTAATTATATATGTTATACATGTAACATCTTATAAAACATATATTTTTTATACTAGTTAATTCTTAGATGAAAGTACAGAAGCATGTCTTTGATTATAAATATACCTTTTTATCATTCTTCGCAAGGAAAAATGAGAATAATAAAAAACATGCTGTCTACCTTGTGAAACAACATGCATTCCAAAGAAAAAATTGGCGTGCGTGCTAACAACTTCTTTATTTCCTCTTTTGTGTGGAAAGATCAGATCAGATATAGGAGGATAGAGTTTGCAACGACTTTATGTTCACAGTCAGGTGTTGTAGCTGAGGTCTAGATGTTAATTGTCCGATTGGATGGTTGTCTGTATATGAAACAGGCCACCACCACCTTATGGTTTGAAGTGTTTTCAGTAATGATAAACTAAAACCGATACTGATGATTACTGCTGTATTTAACAAGTGGTTTGAAGTCTCCAAGATGTTCAAAATCACGTAAAACTTTCATGTTCGATATGCTCTTTGCGCCGGGAAACGGTGAAGTGTGGTATTATATTTTCTCGGAAAAAAAAAACGACTTACTCCTGCGTTCCACTAGTTGGTGGTACGTGATGACGTTCACAACTAGCCTGCACAAAACTTGGATTTCATGTGACGGATCGGATAACCGACGAACTTTTGTTGTCCTTATCTTTCCAGACATAGCAACCGCCGAAAACTGTGTTTTTGTTTAAAACGTCCGTCCAGCAATGGCCCCAAATACTGTATTCAAACGCAGCGAGAAAGGTTTTGAGTGCGAAACCCACGTTTTGTACGTGTCTGAGACGAAGGACTGCTACTTTACCATTTACCAGGATGACGTGAGAATCAGGTCGTGTAATACTGCTTTATTTTTCAGATTCTTTTCGCTTGCGCAGTTTCCTCTTGTACAGTGTCATTCGTGCAAAACTAGTACCGGCGAATATGACGATCTTGTTTCCGCTGAATTCGTTTGTCAATGTCCGGTTCGTCACATTTCGCGTCCAGGTTGAATCTAAATCATGGGGTTGGCGTGACATAGAGCTTGAGTTAGATGCTTCGACTTGTCGTCAGGAAACGGGTATCCCAAGACCCTGTAAGAAGCATTGAAAGAACAAGTTCTCTGCAGCGCACAAAGGAAACCTGCTAGCTACTGTGTTGCAGTGTGTGGAGACCGCGACAAAGACTAAGATAGGGAATTTACCATTCACCAGGCCAGACCTTTGCGTTCGACCATCTACCTTACATCCGATTACTTCCGAAACTAGGCATCCAACCCACGTCAAGATTTGGCAAAACTTTGACCACCTTTTGTCTGCGCTGTGGGTCTTCACCACGTAATTATAAATCTGCTAGCTTCCGTTAAATGCAAATATGGTTACACTCGTCTCCAGTCTATAATGTGCTCATAGACTAACAGGTCTGCCAGAGTCAGCTGGGATTTCACCTTATCCTCAGTCTTCCTCATTACGTCTGAGTTGCGTTTTGGCCTACATATCGGTGCTGACATCAGAGTCGGAACTTCACACAATTAACGGATATGTGTGGGCCACATCCGGGCGTGAGCTTACTTCTCAGAATGTGGCTAATGATCCCAGATCAAGGGTTGTCGACTCCTAATGATTAAGGCGAGTGTCTTCTACTTGTCTCGCACAAGGTGTGAGAGCAGGTTCGTTAGTTGCTACGTTCTTTTGGATATTTTCCCAGTAGCACTTGACAAAGAAAGGGGTTCGATGCACCGTCACCTTCGGATTTACGGATAATATTAGAAGATACGGAGATTTTGGCCTTCATTTTACTGGTTGCGTAGCACTCTCGAAGGCCGATGAGAACAAGTTAGAAGGTTGGGCCTTGGTCACGGTGCTTGTCCCTTTTACTTCCCGTGTGACCTGGTTGGATACACTAATTTAACACGACTCTACCAAAGGATAGCCTTGTAAATTAGTGAAGATCTCAAGGGTCTCAGGAAGTGGAGTGAACATTGTGACAAAACATCTTGTGCGCGTTTCTTCGCGCTACGGTCAGATTTGGTTGTACGGGATTAGCAGAACAGGTTACATGTACAAAACAAGTCCACCTTCCGTGCAGAAGACCATGAAGCAAAGAGCCTGCACATCTGTTCGCTTCGTGTGGCCTTTCGGACTGCAACATCCTCTGTGGACTTACGATGATCTGATCACAGCTTCAGTACAGGGCTCACATCTGAACACGTTACCCTTGTGATACAGCCCGCAGACTTCGAACATATGTGCGCTCAAAGCTGTCCCCATCTTCCACATAAACAAGCGCATTCACACTGAGTCACCATCAACTTACCTTTGGGTACACTCGCAGCTGTAGGTATTGAGGAGGGATCTAATACGGGGCAGAACGGGTTGTGTATATATGGGAAGAAAAACATGTGGTATCTGTCACACTTCTTATGATGTGAATTTGAGTAGGAAATGTCACTGCGTAGGTATGAAAAAATCCCGTTCATTCGCTCGTCGATATAAAATGGTTGAGGCCTCGAGCCTGTACGCCCCACACATCAACACACGATCAGTAGATTTAGTGATGATATATATTCCCTCGTTAATTAAATACTGCTCATTCCACATGCTGGTTATAAAGAGTAATATCACGGCGGCTCAGCAGCCAATACACTCACCATGCTGGTCTGACAACATGACGTCCAGTAGACAGAGCCCAGTTCACCTGCATAGAGTTTGGAGTGTTAGAAAATGCTTGAAAACCCTTTTCGATCATCTCCTCCTCAACAGAAGTCTTTTCCTTCAAAATAACGATTGCCACCATCCATGGCCATTTCGGATTGTGGTAACAAAGGCGTGGCGCTCGTGACTCTGGAGGACGATATAATTTGCGAACCGATAGATTACCTTATCAGTGCCAGGCGAAATTGCCACTACGTGAGTGACCTCATCATCAATTTTAGTGGTACAAATGGCCCCAAATTGTTCAGCTGTACGCCACAGAGGGTGGAGATGAGGTTGAGCTTCACCGACAGGAAAAATGCGACTAAATACCACCTTGCACCCAGCTAAGACCTGGCGTTGTTCGGATGCAAGAATGTCCCGCACATCTACTTCCCTTAGTCGTTGATTTTCAAAGAAGCTCTTATGAATTCTGTCCACAACCTGAGACATGACGTGAGCAATTAAATTGATGAGAATTTAATTTCACATCGGACGGGGGCAAATAATATAACCTGCATAATGGTAAAGGAGTATTCAAAAAATGCAAAAGGCTTAAGCAAGGTGCCGACCGATAAAACCGAAGCTATCATGCCGTCTGCTTCCCTCTCGTCATGTCCCACCTCCAAAAGTGATGGGCCCCCCAAGCCAAACTGGCGCCTGCTGCAAGGAAAGTACATATACCTACAAAAAAACAGGAAACGAAAAGTTTTGTCAGTTTAGTTACTTCAAAGAGTTTCCTCTGGTGTACAAGATAATATCTCACTCCGTGTCGCGATTGGTATAATGATTTACCGCTCGACAACGATTAGATTTTGACTGTGATGAGGCCAAACTCGAGCTGAATCATCAATAATTATGACAGCCGACTCCATTCCCAAAACTCCATCGAGATCCTTGCTTTTTGGTAGCATGTCATCCCCATCACCATCGTCGCCTTTTGAAATCACCCTTCCTTCGAACAACGCGCCAGATGGATCCAAAAGCTTGGCCATTTCCGTAGCATACACCTTGTTCCCCATTGTGTAAACATGAAGCTCAAACAGCTGACTTGCCTGCAGGTGTCGCAATAAAACGCGATAAACGATTAAAACATATTTCTAGATGCTGAGAACATATTCAACTACTTGATAAAAGAATATAAAAATCATGTGTAGAACTTACTCTTGCAAGAAACTTCCAGATGCCAGGACGCAGCTTTGTCCACATACTCATGTGAGGAAAACGGTAAAGCTCGCGTCTTTCCAAAGACTCTCTGTTTGTCCTACTGCGTTCGGCAGCTTCGGCGATGCGAAGCCGATGTTCCCACTCTGGTTCTATCTCTGAAAACTGAATCATTTCCACATTCAAGATAATTCATTACATTGCAACCAACATGAAATTAGATACTCAAATCCTAGCTGGACGTTCATCAGATGGAAAGACTGGGGACCACCAGCTGTGGCTTTCAGTCAAGAGTAACACCTTCGCAGAGTTCAACAAAGTGTGATCGAGGTCCAAAACAAGACACAATTTTCCTGCACTGAACATTCGATCTTGCTCTTCCATCCTCCTTTCTCGCTCTTGTTGAACTGCACGACGCTCACTCTCGGACAAGTCTTCCAGCAGCTTTTCCAGACCAGGATGGACTTGACTTGCACCCCACTGACCAGGGGTTCCTTTGGGTTTGCGCGGTCCTACTTCAAGATTTGATGCCTTCTGCAATTGAGGGTCAGAGGCTTTTAGGAGGCCAGCCCCGGACGCGTCAGGACGTAGTATTGAGTCCAACGCTAGAGCTTCCACAGAGCTTTTCCCACCACTCAAATCAGAACTCCCGGTTGCTGGGGCAACTTGAAATCCTACAGACTGATGTGGTGACTTGATCTGGGCTGCGGACGCAGCGACCGTGGAACCCGTACCAACCATTCCAGCCAGGCTCGTCAGCTTCTCCATAAAATGAGGCGCAATGTTCGGCAGGGTTGTAACTTGCAGCGATGTTGATCCGTTCTCCCTGTTATTCCAGACGTTCGAAGCTTGGTCGTCCGTTGTGACTCTTGCGGGTTGCTGGTTTTGAGGCAAACCAACTTCGGTGCCTTTGTTCAAATCTGCAGTGGACACAACATCACCTCCACCGACAGGGACATCACGTTCCACATTATTCTCAAGAAGCAGTCGTCGAGGATCTCTGGGCTTCATTCTTCTCTGACTAAGATCCCCAGCCTGCAAAGCAGATCAAGCTGGTCAGAATAAAGCACAAAATTCACAGTCCTTCATCAGTGCTGCTGTCGAGCGGCATATTATCTCCACCAGAAGTGATAAGCACATCAGCCTCACCCACTGAGTATCACAAAACTTACTTGTTGGCCTAAATCGCTTTTCTGCTTCTTGTTATGGTCGAGGCCGTTAGAAAGGTCCTGTTGGGACCTTTCGTCCCCATTCGCATCACCGCCTACAGTAAACCCCTTGCTGTCTTGCAACCCTGCAGGAGCAAACTCTTCATCCACCTCCATTGCAATTGGACCTTCTTCTGCTAGTGGAAAAGTAGCAACCAGGTTATCATCTAACCAGCCTCCAGTGCCATGCGCATTATCTTGCTCGAACTCCCGAGGCTTATCGCTCTCCGCGCGGAATTTTTGTCGCTTTTCTTTTCCATCAGTTTCATCTGCGTCTGTTATATGTCGCTTCCTCTTCATATCAATTCTACCCACTGAAACCTCTTCTTCGATAGGTTTCTCGTCAAAATTCACGCGACTGCCTACTTCCCGGTCATAATCAAGAGAGGAATGTTGCATCCGTCTCCTTGGATCTCTACTTTTGAGATGTCCTTTACCTTGGAGAGTATATGTCAAGCTAATAACAGGCTCGACTGGGTCTGAGGACCTAGTTGGTGAGGGCAGCATCGTAAATTCTGACAACATAGGTCTCTCCATTTTGGGACCTTTGGTCAGTGACGAATCGAGGCTATGACTACGGATCAAATTGGGATCTAAGCCCGGCAATGAGTTGGCAAAAGCAAGCTTCCCAATTCCCGAAGGTGGATGACTACCAGGCTTAAAGCTTTCGGTAATGGAGGAAACGCTTGAAACATCCTTGAAGGGTTGCCTCAAGACAACAGGATCGTCTTCATTTTCGTCGTCTGGAGTCGGACTTGGAAGACGATCTCTAGAATACAAAGTACTCATCCCGACGTTCTTTGGATAAGAAGGCAATGATCCAGGCCATGTTTTGCCTGGAGTCACCTCATCTTCAACAGCCGCCTGCTGCGCTAACCCCGCAGCTACAGCTGCGTAGCTTGACGTGCCAGCTCCTGGAGGACTCAACTCTTCCCAATCCTCCTCTAACATACCATAAGAATTTCCATGTTTTGGAAAGCCTGGCGGCAAGTTCAGACCATCTTGAACCGAGGAGACAAGAGGTCTGGTGACCCGCTGTGTCCTGCCCTCTAATGAGGTCTCAAGGATGCCAATATCCTGGAACGGTTTGGCTGGCCGATGATCACCTTCACTCCACTGCTGGTACCTCGGCCCAGAGGAAGTATAAACGCTGTCTGCGTGAGCAGAATTGGTAGCTGGATCTAAGAAGTGAGAACCATTTTCAGGGAACCATCCCCATCCGGCTGCGCCAGGAACAGATGATCCACCAGAGCGATTGGTAAGTGTGCTGCCAAACATGGAATTAGAGCGGGCTGCAGCTGAGCTTTGAGCGTAGGCAAGGGCTGCAGCAGCAATAGCAGCAGCTTCTTCAGCTTGTTTAGCGTCCACAAAACCGAGTATTCGCCCTGAAACATTTGTCTCTTTCGATTCAGAAATGTTCTGCTGTCTAGTAGTGGGGAAACTTGTCACAAGGGTTTCGCGTTGCTTCCCATCCTTCTCCTTGTTTTTTTTCGTCACAGTCAGAAATGGTTGATCCCGGGGATACTGGCTTTTCTCAACAGAATCTCTGGCAAAACGGCCAGAGCTTGCCATGGTTTGCATCATGACTTCAAGCTGATAAGAAACAAAAGCCAAGAATTATTAGAAACATATGGTTGGCAGCTCCTATTTCAGTTCAGGAAATTAAAATCTTAACCAGTCAAACCATCAAATGCTAATGTAGCTGTAATAACTTTGTAACCTGCTGGACTCGAACGTTTAAGGTCAGATTGGGCAAAACCTGGGAAACAAAAACACTGGTAGCACACACACGAATGTCCCTCACCTCGCGCGTTTGTTTGGAGGTAAAGAGTTTCTGGCAGTAGCCATTGGCGAGCTCCAATAACCTGAGGACAAAGGGAAATGTAAGATGCCTTGTGGAGTGAGAGAAGGGAAACAAGCACAAATTTCCTCCATTTCCAGAAACAGAATGGCGATCAGAGAGTATCTTTGGCAAACCTCGGAAACATATTCTTGTCGCGCTCTTGCTCTCTCCCGCTGGCTGTATTACGCACCTGCACAGGAACGCATTCTCTTCCTCAATCGGTATCCTCAAACAAGCTATCGGAAATACAGGTCTCATACTCAGCTTACTAAATTTGCTTGCTCGGTAGCATTCGGGACCAAGCAGATCCATCCTACTTACAGCGTACACTGCTCTAATTCCAGCAAATGCCTGCCTAGCAAGGGCGGTGACTTCTCGAGCGGGTGGATCCAGTCGTCCGTCCTGCTGTGCAGCTGGTCTGGGGCTGTGGAGCTCATCTAGTAACCTCAAAGCCTTATGAAGTCTTTCGCACACGTCGATGAAGGACCTGCAATCAAAATAGCAAGAAAATCAGCTGCTCGATCGGGAGAAAAAGACCTACGAACTCCTCGACATGTCATCGAACAATTTCATTGAAGGAGCGAAAAGTCGATGAACGAGGGAATCTCTCCGCACTCACTTTTGAGCATCTTTCACGGTCACATTTTTCACCAGATTAGCTGCAGATGTGAAGCGTCTTTCTCTCTCATATTCCTCCGATTTAGACTGTCGGCTTCTCCGGGAATAGTCGTCATTTTGCGATCTAGAATATGGTTTAGGGAGGGATCTTGAATCCAACTTTCCTGAATACTTGTCCTTGAGAGATCGATGAGTCAAATGTTCAGTGTCCAGCTTACTACTGTGGCGACTATGATCAGGTGTCTCCTTAGAAGCACTAAAGACGTCAAGGGGCAGTTCAATTTCCCCTTCTTCCAATTCTCCTTCTTCACGATCATCACCATCATTCTCGTGGCCTGGAATGGGCATAGTCGTTTCAGGTGAACTTCTACTACTCTCTGTTAGTTCATCGAGCTTCCCACTGGGACTTCCAGACTCTGATCGTTTTCTCCGATCTTCCTCCTCGAACTCTCTTGAATCTTCTTCCTCCTCCCTTTCCACTCTTCCAATTCTGCCTTTAGTTAATCGCCTCTCAGACGCGGCCCATGTTTCTTTCTCAACACTGCGCATCCGCCCCAATCGCCCGGTATTCATCGTTCTCCCGTTGTCAATGGGTGACAAGTCGTCACGCTCCTCAGAAGATCTACCACTTCCTCTTCTGTACATCTCCATCTCACGACTATAATCTCGAGCCACATTCTCAGGAGCCCATTCTCCGAACCCTGGCGATGATCCAGACGTTCTGTCATCCTTTGGAGAGCCAGAGGTGGGAAAACTTGGGCGGCCCGAAACGGCCTGAGCCCAGGCAAAATTGTACAAATTTGAACCATAGGCACCATTGGGTGTGAACGAAGAGCCATCCCTCCGCCAGGCCGCTTTGTCGTCTACCCAAGCTTTTCTTTCGTGCCCATCTTCATCGAGGCCTCCTTCGCCTCTGGTATCGTGTCTATAGAAATCCAATCGCTTTCGATTTTCTGCGTTTTGCTCCCCTATCCTCACCAAATCATCGAGACTAACTCGCCTATGCAACAAAGGAACTTCTTTGGAGTTGTCAGGTTCCTCCCTCACCTCCTCAGGCTCCTCCACACCCTCTCCTCCATCTCCGACCTTCTCAGTCTCCGGCTCTTCGGATGGAGAGGCGGGGGGCTCTTCATCGGAGATTTCTCCTTCTTCATGTTCCTCTTCATCCTTGTCTCTGGGGCTCTCATCAGTCTCTGCCATATCGTGGTTCCCACCCGGAAAAGCCTAACAGGAGGTCTCCGATCTCCAAGATTGACACCACAAAGCGAGCCGACTCCCTCAGGAAGATTCGGGCACCGCCGCATCACTCATTTGGATTTCGACCTCCTCACAGACCGAGCACATTGCCAGTCAATCCGGATCCACTCGCACACGCAAGCCGATACTCAACGTGCCCACTCCGATCCATTTCCCACCCGACACCCGCGAATTATTTATCTCGTATGTTACGTATTCCTAGCTTCGATCCGTTCAGCTACGGGAAGCTAGCAAGCCAGCGAGCAAGCTGGCTCGCTCATGAGGGTTTCTATTACCGCCCCTTCGTCTTCGTCAACTCACACTCTAGAGCCCGCACCGCAGCAGGCAGAGAGTGCAACTGGAGGAGTTTTAACCATCACCTCACAAACCTAATTCTCCGCCACTCTGCCTCTCGTCGGAGGCTCTAACCCTGCCCACTGGCTCGTCTACAGAGAGAGCCGTCGGCCCATGAGATGGATTGCCATGTCCGTCACGACTCACAAGCGCAGGCTCTTGGTTCGGGGCTGGGATTGGCTTCTTAAGTCTGGCTCCGATGGCGTGGCTGAGAAATGGCTTCCCCTGGATCGATCTCAAAAGAAGAGAAGAGAAGAGAGTAGAGTGTGAGGGAGAGTGGGTACGCTTAAGGGGCCAGAGGCCGACAACGAGAGGAGGATGAAGAACCCCCCTCTCTCTCTCTCTCTCTCTCTCTCTCTCTCTTGCTGCAGCAGCACAGAGAGCGCGAGTTGAAACTGGATGTCCCGGCGCAGCAACGAGGACTAAGAGAAACGCAGAGATGGTGGATTTGAGATTCCGTGCAGCCCCGGCGGGAGAGGGAGGGACAGTCCGGAGAAAGTGGAGGGAAGGAAATAGTGCGATTTAACTCGAGAGACCGACGGAGGGAGGCGGCGCACAGAACAAGGCTAGCGCACTGCGCTAAGCGCAGAGGACAAGGAGCGTTCGTGTAGTCGGTCCGTCAGTCGGTCAGTCACTGAGCCCTGCTGCTGCAGTCCAGTCCAGTTGACCCTTCTGTGAACCTCGGAGCTCCTGGTGTTGTTGACCCCGACGTGCCGAGCCCATTGCATCCTACTCTGTCCCGTTTCAGGTCTCATGTTTCGGACTGGAACTTCATTCCTCTCTCCTATCAAGAGATCCGATTCCGGATGGATTTACCACGATGACGAAAGCGAAAGGAAGAGAGAAAAGAGTAGGTTCGTAGCCTTGCGTTATACTTTGCCAACCATGAGTTATACGATTCTTTTTGCTTTCCATTTTAGGCTACATCACTTTTAATCATTTCTGAAGATTGAACAAATTCTAGTGATATTTTTCAAATACTGAAAATGTTAGTGTTTTGCTTTCTTCTATATGATAATATATGCAAACTAGACAAATAGATTTGTCTAGTTGTGAGTTTTTGTTTCATGTTAGGGATTTAGTGGCTATGTATTCTCTATGTGAAGTGGGATGTAGTAGGGTAGTGATCTTGATAGGTATTGTATGAGAAAGTCTTATGTCTTTACATTGAGTTTAAAGTTAAGGGTATAATGTGTAATTGGAGAAAAAAGAAGACATTAAAACTTTCAAAATTTGAAATATCTATATCAAATTAACATATGAGTCTAGACTAACAAATCCTATATTCATCTACTAAATATACAATATATTGAAATCATAAATAGAAAAAAATCACTAAAAATCAACCCAATATCACTTATTTTCAAATGAAGTAATCTTCATTTCTTAAAAGATGCAATATATTCACCTCACATATGTTTAAATTAAAAAAGATGCATTGGCTAAAATTTTATTTATTTTCAAATTGATTTGAATCATAACATATTTTTAATTTAACTTAAAATTAATTTATGGCATGTTAATGATCTCTATTTTATTTAAAAATAATTATTTTTTTAAATGATTCATCATAAACTAGTTTGATTTATAGATCTGACGTTATTTTTGTAATTATTTTTTCTATAATGATGCATTGTTTTGAAATGGTGATAGATATCATATTCTATATGTTTGGGTAATGAACAAAAATTTCAACTTATTAATCATTTTATATACACGTTCATCATAAAAAATGATCCAATAGATTAAACCCTAAACCCTATCATGTATATTATGTTTGATTGTGACACTAGATTTTACAACAGAAGATGAAATATAAATTCTAGAGATTAAATATTTTTAATAACATTGCATTTTATTTGTATAGAGATTTCCAGCACACAAAAAAATAAGATTTCATCCTGAATCAATTATTTTAATTCTAGATTGTAGATGACATGACATGATATATTTAATAAATACATGGATTAATAACGTTTACATGTTAATCATCCGTGATAATTTTGTTCTCAACTAAAAGATCATCTAATATACTTGTTTTTTTAACTTACCAAACACATGGATTGTTAATATGAAACCTGGAAATAGTACAATATAAGTAAATTTTTATTTATCTCAAATATTTCTAGTTTGATGTCAACTAAATAACAATGTTTACATAGATGCAAAATGATGAAATGTGATCTACAAAAATTATGTCAATTTATTTTGAACTATAAAAAATTGAATTTTTTGACTTTTGAAATGTAATATACATGAATCTCAGACATAAGATGCAATATTTTTTTTTGTATGAATGCATGAACAAAATTATTATATGTACTTTCCAAAAAAATCAAACACTTGTCTCATTTTTTTAGATATTATAAAAACAACTTAATATCAAATCTATCATTTCTATACACTTCTATATTATTGTTACTTTAAAATAAGATAATTTAATGAAAATTTATGCTTTATTTTGAGTATATTCATTAAAATAATCTAATGAAATGAAAATTTTCACCAGTTTATAAGGTTTTGTTTATTTATTTTTGAAAAAATATTACATTCAAATATAATTGAATAACTTGAAAGATTGTAAATTTTTTTTAAAAAATTCCAATATTCAATTTCAATATTTCTATAAAAATGCAATGAAATCATGACTTAGTAACATGTGTAATTCATGTATTAAATTATTGATTACATAATCTTATCATTGTCCAAAATATACTCCCATTATGATTTTTTATATCAACTTAATCTCACATTATACTCACATCGTCTATTTTTTATATCAACTTATTCTACTTTTTCACAAGTTACAGATATTTAATAACAGATCTAGAAATCATTTATATTTCAAATTCATAAGTCTTTTTTTTATATATTATTTAAATAATTTTTTATTTTCATATTTCTTGCAATAATCATATCATGATTTTCTGACAAAATCATTGCGTTTAACTTCATATCATCTGGTTTTCACATGTATTTTTCCAAAAATATAAGGTCCAATAAATTTGTGGATCTTCTTGCTTAAAGCAACTTTATTATATTTTATGTGTTTGGTTCCTTATGTCATTGGATACAATCATCAATTTTAAATTTCTACCTTCAATAAAAAATTTATATATGACATTTGTGTGGTTTTCATCAAATGTTTTTTATTTCATTTATAAAATTTTCATGTTCAATCATCAACCTAAATTTTTGAAAAAATAATTTATCTTCAAATTTAGAAATAAAAAATAAAAACAGACATATCCAAGAACATTTATTTTTCATCAAAGTGTTGTCTTAAGTGATACTTTTCAAAAAAACTGATAGTTTTTTTTGAAATCTTTAAATTCGTTCTTATTTCTTTATATCCATGATTCTAATGTACATTAGATGTTATTATTTTATAATTATTCTCAAAAATCATGTAAAATAACAATTAGATTGTTGTTAAAAATCGTCCAGAATTAGCAATAAATCAACTTAAAAACTGTAATAATATTCTCAAAATAAAGATAAGCTGAAATTTATTTATTTATTAAATGCATTTGATTCAATAGAAAGATATAAGATATTTTTTGACGACAAGATTGTCTTTACAAGATGCATAAATTTGAAATTTATGTGAAAGCGGATGGTCAATTATGGATGCGTTATGTATAATTGCGATGTTATACACATGATATTATATTGCTATATTATACAACACTTCCAAACCATAACTTGTATAATTGTATGATACAGTTGAAGTTCATGATAAGTTGCTTATTACAAGTGTGAGATTTCAAATTTTCCAATGACTGTGGTAAGATTTTAGAGTAGTAATAATTGAACTCGACCTCTGATTTCATATTTATGTGAAATCTCTAGCTATCCATTTGGAATTTAGAGAAGGCTTTTAACATCAAATTTTTCTCTCAAGATCGAGATTCAAGCTCCACTCAAGCAATTAAGGGATGAGGAATTAAATGTTACATCATGCGATCTAGAACTACAAACAAATTCATTTTGTATTTTGCCCATTTAAGTTTCATTCATTCTTCTTTCTTTATGTATCTATGTGCCAGCGGATAAAAAGAAAGCACATGACATATTTTTTGTGGGCAGATCTCGGAGATCAGCTCAATGCAAACGGTAGAGAGTCATGTTTGCCAATTTTTTAGCCAAAATTTTTTTCTTATTCACTTTGTGTTTGGATGCCAACTGATAAAAATAGGCACATTATACATTTTTGGTGGACAAATTAAGAGATCAACTTGAAGCAAAGGTTAGTCAGTTAGTAACATAAACAACTTGCACAATCCACAGTCCAACTTTTTATTAAGCTCAACAGTTCAAAATTATATATGCAAGACACAAACAAGCTTAATCAATGTCTTAAATATGATCAACAACACATGATGATACTTGTCTAAGTAAAATAGCTCTTAATCATTTATCTTGCTATGAAAATGATCTTCTTGTGTTAAAAGATATGTGAATATATTTTAGCTGTAAGCCAACATGAAAAATGAATAGTTGATGTTTAAATTTGCAAATGAGCCAAAAAGCTAACAAAAAATTTTTCAGGTCAAGAATCAACAACGGCTTGCTATAAGTGTGAGATTTCAGATGTTTTGAAGTATGCAAGGAGATTTTAAGATTTTTGATATAAGACTATACACAAAATAAAAAAGCCAAAAATGCAACTTGAAGCTTGCTACAAGAAGTTTGATGCCATATCAATGTATTGTAAGTGTTTTGCTTGCTACAAATTGGTGATTGCGGCAATTGGTTGCATGCGCAATCGCATTTGGACATCCGGCATGAAACTTGTTTTTCAAGTTGCTTTGTGCTTGTTTTCAACTCACGTTTACAAAAACAATTGATGGTACATGAATATTTATATGTGATGAACAATGTTTTTTTCACACTCAGTCTAATCATCTTTAGTTAGTTAGAACTAAAGTACAAGTTACTCTAAATGTTGATATAGATAGCATGCACTAGTCATAGCTACCACGTCAACGATCCGCGCGCTTGGTAAATAGAGAGTAGGTGTGTTAGTTGACAATGCCACGTCAGCAATCCGTGTGCTTGTTAGTTGAGGATTGAGTGTGGTAGTTAAGGTGTTAATTGGGAGCGCCACGTCTGCAAATTGTAAGCTTGTTATGATTATCCGTCACGTCATTGTGGTAACCCACTTTTTTTTTGTGTGCGGAAATTAAAACAATTTTGGAAAACAGTACCGCAGCAGCCGTGTAAATGATGATCGGTACATTTAAATAGAGTGAAGATGGATAATCGCGGGTCTCGCATGATCTCGTAGTATCCAGAAGTTGGGCGCAGTGTCCGGAACAGGCGCCCCGGCGTGAACGATCAATTCTGAAGGAGTTCTCCTTTGGCGCAAGGCGCATAATCCGCCTTCGGCGGTACATCTTTGGCGCTAGGCAAATCCCTCAGAGCTTATACAATTCACAACGCCTTGACTTGATTAGGGTCTCATTGAAAGGAGCTTGACACGCTCGTTCTAACGAGCCCAAGAACGCCGGGAACGGATGAGGACTCAGGGAGTTGTAACTGTCGGAAGATGCAAAGACGGACGCCTTCGGCGGAAGGAGTTCGTCGTCGGCAGGAAGTCCGCCTTCGGCGGAAGGGATTCGCCTACGCGTAGGCACTTTGCCATCGGCGGATTATCCGCCTTCGGCCCTAGAAATCCGCCTTCGGGAGTGAAATTCGT